CAAACGCCAAGTGGATTATCTAATGTTTACTTTATCTTCTTGTAGGTTCGTTGTCTGCAGAGGGTGCATCAGCTTTTAAACCTAAGAAAGGAAATAGGGCATTGAAATTTTTCGACAGGGCGGTCTCGGTAGGTGTTAAATATATATATACCGTCTCAATAAAACTTAAGTACCCACCAACATAAAGCTCTGAAATCGACAAGGCTTTCATTAATTCAACAACCTTATAGTCCATTCAGTTCCAATATAAATACTTACACGGATTACTTTTCACTACATGTGTCTCCACCTTTCTTCTTCAATCACTTATAGCTGCTTCGGTCCACTGCATTCAGTCCGTATGTTCATTATCAATACGTGTGCTATTACAGACATTTTGCTTAGACACAGCCAGCTCTTATTTCTAATTTCAGCATGAATGCGTGAACCCGGGACCTGCTTTTCGTCACAACCGAACGACTACCGACCGTTCTTTACCAGCCCCTCCATTCTGCACCACTTGTTTGTTTTATGCTGGGTTTTTTATCCGGGCAATATATTGGAAAAATATTTATATCTAAAACTTCTGCAGAAGATTTTTTTAATTTGTAAGGGATAAAGGCCGAAAACTGTACTTTCTGTCAACAGAAGAAACAACTGAGGGGTGTTAACCCCGAAGTTGTTTTTTCTGTTGACAGAAAGTACAGTTTGTGGCCTTTATCTGTCTTAAAACATAGTATCTGCATTAAATGAGCATGCACACAGCTCACTACTGAATGTTGTTTTAAGACAGTTGTTACTTTAAGAATGTACACTTTTAAACATTCATGCATTCATTCATTGAATAGTTGATGCTTCAAGTGTCAAGATGTCAGGTTCTAGTGATGATGAAATATTTATTACCCAAACAAAGACTTGTGAAATAGATGATTATAATTTAGAAACGGATACTGTTCTTAGTGATGCTCTGAATTTGGAGGAAAATTATGTAAAAGAATCCAAACAGTTACCAAACTTTGATTTGAACTACTCTGATATAAGCGATGTTCAAACACCAAATTTGCCAGAAAATGCCAAGACTTCACTGAGGTTTTCCAAGCCCCTGGACGATTCTGATCTAAAGAATTTGGTTAAAAGTGGTCTTAGTATTAAAACTGAAAATAAAACTAGATGGGCAGTTAATTTGTTTAGTATGTGGAAGAAACACAGAAACAATAATAACTCTGAAGAAAAAGGTTTATTAAATCTTTCCAGTCAAGAATTGAATGAGGCACTTTCCTTTTTTATAGCTGAAGTGCGTAAGGAATCCGGTGATAATTATAAACCAAATACTTTGTATGAGATTATTATATCTATACAGCACTACCTTCGTCAGAATGGACGTTTAATAGCCTTTATGGATGATCAAGAATATCAGGGTTTAAGAAGTGTTCTGAACAGTAAAATGAAGGAGTTGTCGAGACTTGGACTGGGTATTAATACCAAGAAGTCAGAAGTTATTACAATAGAACAAGAAGAGATTTTATGGAGTAAAGGCTTGTTAGGTGAAAGTAACCCACAGCAGTTATTGGATACTCTTGTTTTCTTGTTTGGATTACATTTTGCACTGCGAGCTGCTCAAGAACACAGGAATTTAAGGTTTGGTATGAACACTCAATTGTCTGTTATGTATGACTTAGAAGGTAAAAAATATCTGCAGTTCATAGAAGATGTTTCAAAGACAAACCAAGGTGGTTTAGATCACAGGAAAGTCAGTCCTAAAATGACAAGAGCTTATGAAAATTCTAACCCATTAAGATGTCCAGTTAGATTATATGAAAAGTATATAGCTCTGCGTCCAAAAAACGGTACAGTAGATGCATTTTATCTGCGTCCCAAGAAGATGCCATGCTCTGATGTTTGGTACTGTGATTCTCCTCTAGGAATTCATACCATACAGTCCACTGTTAAACGATTATGTCAGTCGGCTGGTATAATTGGATACTTTACTAATCATTCCCTTCGTGCCACAGCTGCTACTCGTTTATATCAAGCTGGAGTGGACGAGCAATTGATCACTGAAAAGACTGGACACCGATCTAATGCTGTACGAGCATATAAAAGAACAAGTGATGCCCAGCAAGCCTCTGTGAGTTCAGTATTGCATAGTGGTTCCAAAAAACATAAATTGGAAGAATTGGTGGATACAAGCCCAACTAAATTTAAGCAAGAACGTTGCGTTAATGAGGAAACCAATGACAAAGAACATAAGGAACTCAGAGAGTTCAAACTTTCAATGCCAGGAATGAACTTGTCCATGAAATTTTGATTCATTTGACTGTAGTATTGCTTCAAAAATTGCAATAAATATGTTTGTTCTAGTTATCTGAAAATCTGTTCTTTCTTAAGTTTAATAATGTACTATTTTTTCCAAAAACTTTACATTCTTAGGTCAAAGAAAGTACAGTTTTTGGAAGTTGTGAGTAGGTGTTCACAAAAACAGTACATTCTTTGAAATAATGGCCTAAAACAACAAAGGACTACTGTCTAACTATGTTTTAAGCAACTTTAAAGTACATGTATTCAAATAATGACCTCCGCAGTAAACGGGCGACTTTGTTGCTGGAGTGTATGTTTTACTGCCTGTCTAGCGACAGACGTTCTTTTTTTGAAGTGAAAATTATGGTTATTTTACAGGCATTTCGTTTATGGAGATCAAGAAGTTGGACATTAAACCAGAAAGAAGAAAAGGACAAACCACCACATATAGAAGTTTTAGTAGATACTTTAGAAGGACCGGTACATTTGATACAAACAAAAAGATTACCATCCGCAGAATTGGATACGGGTAAACGATTTTGTATTCTTAGCATTTAAAAAAATCTTATAATTCAAATCACCTTAAATATGAAATGTGGCAATAAGACACTGAGCGACGTTCCGACTAGGCGTGATAAAGACTAGAGAAGCCTATAGTCGAAACGTCGCTCGGTAATAAGCGACCTGTATATTCCAGGGGCCTGTTTCACGAAATTGTAACTAAGATCAAATCCAAATTCGGTTGATTGTAGTGCTTAGCCAATCAAAATCCAAGTATCTACTAGAATTTGGATTTTAACTTTAGTTAAGATTTCGAGAAACAGGACCCAGGATCATTTACTAAATGTCATTGAAACAATTTAGTTCATTAAAGGGGCATTAGGTAAGATTAGATAAAGAGCTGACAGTTCTCGCTAATTATGAAAACAAAAAATGCTGAAAATTTCATCCTAATTGCTTAACTCTGAACAGAGATATTAACGATTCAATTTTCGGCTAGCCTCGATCATCATTAACCTTGGTTCTATAGTAAACAATGTCTCGATTATCCATCACAAAATGTATTCATATCCACTAAAGATCGTAGGCTAGCGATGCCATCGAGGGTTCAGTATGGCCTTGATAATTTGTATAACATTTTAGGCCTAAAGAAATACCGGCAATCGGCAGATTTAGCTCTTGCATAATGCATGTTTAGTGCCTGACATGTTGTAAGGTACAGCTAAAACCGTTATTTCAGGGCCTGGACATCTGAATGCTCTTTTCGGCCTACAAAGATTTTTTTTTTTTTAAAATATTGAGTGACAGTCAAAACAATTACCGTAACTTGGAATAAAACATATACCAAAAGTCCTGAACTAGACAAGTCGACTACATGTAGTTATCCGGACATGGAAAACGTCCACTTTACTGTGTGAAATAAATTCTGTTGATTTTTTTTTTATTTAGGCAATTCAGAAGAGAAGGGAGCCGTATCCATAGAGATGTCGGGTAAAGACGAAATGTCAGAGCTCGACCGAAAGGTACCCACAACTGGAACTGGAAGACGCCGTTTCTTCTCCAGAGCGGCTGGTACGCGATCATTGCCGAGAAACGCAGAACGGTTAAGGGCAATTTTCCGAAAAAATTACTGAAAAACTAATTTAGATATTGTATTATATATGTATGCATTATGTGGTATTAACATGCTATGATTGTACCTTTAAATTGATTTGTAAATCACATAATTAAAGTTATTGTCAATTTTTAAAAAAAAATGAATGAAATATTTTAATAATACTCTGATCCGATGTGTATAATAGTTTAATTACATGTATTTCTGTTGAATGTTTTATAATTGTTAATTATGAATTAAATATTATTAATGTATGGTCTGTGTATTTTTGATCTTGACATTCAATATACGGTATAAGGCTATCTTATTGGATGTGCTTTTCAAAACATATTTTAAGGGGGTTTGGGTAAGCGATCCGAGTCTTTAAAATGCTTAACTCTTTGAATTGGGTCAAAAATAATTTGTCTATTTCATCGAATGTTAGGTTTGGATTTGTTTTGTGGTGTGATAATCTGTCTTGGTTAAACAATTTACGTCTAGCTGTCGGTAAGGCCATTGTTGAAATATTACCAATCTTGTGTTCGACTGACGACAGAGTGGACCAAAATTTAAACTAAATTTAATTGTATAGACTACAGCTTTTCCCATCACTATCTATGCGAAATTAACCAAATACTAGTACAATACTTTATTTTGACCTAATTCAGAAAGGTTTTTATAACCTCTTATCACCATCAACAATTCTTTGTAAAGGTATCACTTTTTCATCACAATGACAACTTTTAGTAAATATATATCCTGTATGATTATCTCATATTACGCATAAACGTGACGCTTCTTTTTCTCTTTTTGGACTTTTTGTGAACATTTCAGACTAGTTTCATGCGTCTGATATTATAAGCTGACCCAGATCCATTGGGAACAGGAGTCCGTTAACTGATGGCGTTAAATTAGCGCATCCGATCGTCTTGGGAAAAGGTGTAGCGGGGGGGTGGGGGGGCGTACGTCAACAATATGGTATCTCGCCCGTCCAAATGTTCCTGATGATCAATAAGTGATTGTTATGGATGTCACTCCACTGGATATCAAATTTAATTTCTCAGGGGTATCAACCAGGCTTTTTTTTTTAATATTACTGAACACGGATCAATACAGCAAATAAAGATGAAGTTGTCTGCAAACAGAGTTATACAAATTGTCAAACAGAGTTATGTCCCATTCCAATATGTCGGCGCCCAGCAGTGAAAACAAATCAACATCTGGTCCTGTTGTTGTGTCCGCTAACGCAGACCGAAAAAAATTTAGTAGTAAAAAAGGTAAGACATTTCTAACCAGTCGTTTGTACAGTAATATATTTTTCTCGATGGCAATATTTATATGTATAGTCCACAAGACTTAAGACGCAGTTTAGTGTTTACGTGATTTACTTGAATGAACTTTCAATAGAACAAACGCAGTTTTTATGCCCCGCCTTTCAAAGTTTCTTGTAATGTACTACACTCAACTTTCTGTGACTTGTTTGATACGTATAAGATATTCCATTTTAGCTCACAACAGAGTTGGTAATTCACAATAGATCGATGACAATGTCAATAATTTAATAGTAGCTAAGTCTCTAACTCAATATCATCAAAAATCTTTGACATTGAAAACACGAATTATTTGTCAGTTCAAATCAACATTGGTCTTGTGATCTTACAGGGAAAACTAAGGCTTCTGATATCCAATATTCAAGACAAAATAAACATTTTGTCTTTGGTACACGAATCGTGTACCATAATGTGTTTCAGTGCCATTTGGAACATGGTACTCAAAGAACGAAGCTAGTCATGTCAAATGGTGATGCTATATTCTTATCTGGAGAGCATGCACAATAAATACCATCGGTTTAGACTGGAATAACCAGACGCTAAAATTGTCTTCAATTGAAACTTCTGGCGTATATAGCCAAACATAACTGATTAGAACTTACAGTAAAAACAGAAACGATTGAATGTAAATCAGTTTATATACATTCATATTACATTATTATATGCGTTGCGACCCATTTGTGTCAATTTCTAGATCCCAAATATTAGCGATTTAGCTCCTTTAATTGAGATGTAGGCCTATATAAAGCCTAGTGACATACGGCCAGTTACTATAATTCAATTTATAACAAGTAGTCGCATATAGTCTCTGTTACATTATAAGTAACCGATGATTTGGTAACATTGAGGATACCTGATTTGGTTTGCCAGAACTGATTTGTCTCAATCCCAAAAAGCGACAATCGGGTGTAAAAGTCGATTCAGGCTGTGTACAACGGTGACATAAGACCACTCGGTCAACTGCATAAGAAAATATCTCAACCAACGATAGCCGGTAAAACATATTCGTTGTGTTCTACTCACACCACCCCAGTTGTTGTGACTGTCACTGCGTGTCAGGACTGAATTCTACACCAATCGATTGCAGTTCGGTCAAACCGAAATGTTCCAGTCTGACAAACAAGCATCCCCATTTGTTTCTTTCGAGTCGCCATTTGAATGAATGAAGTATTGCATTGATTGATTATATAGCCTAATTATTAATTTAAGAAAATTATTGAAAATGTAAAGTACAATAATTTTAAGAATTGCACCCTTTGATAGAATAACCAGCAAAAAAATGATTTTTAATGGACCGATTGCTATTCATTTGTTGTTCTGTGTATCCCATTTTATTTATGGTTTTAGAAGCTATTTCATGAAACGTTGAAGATTTGTACATTGACTTTACACTCAACTTCAATTAAATGAAATTTATAATAAATGTATAATACTAATTTTTGTAATTGGAGTTATTTGCATTGAAAAAGCGATCTTCTCGAACAGGAAAACCCCAGACAATATTAAACAAAGATTGTCAAATTTGTGTTTTTTGAGTAATGTTATGAGTGGAAGTTACAATTATTAATCCATGATTTGCAGACTATATATGTTTGTCTTTATTACATATTTTCATGCTTACATATGTAGGTCCAAAAAAGAGAGCTGCTCATCAGATACCAGATGAAATTCTAAATAATGTAGAAATACAACAGGCTATGAAACCGGTAGGTAACAACACTGTTTTAAATTAGAATTATTGAAAATGAAATGGAGTTTTTAGTCTTGCTGTTCTACAAATGAAATTTGATTTGACGTCCTACTTTTCTACATAGTCGAGTGGTCGGATGTGCACTTTCAATTATAACGCCTGTGATTGTCATTTTTTCGATCTAAAGCCATTACATAACAAGGTGTTGTGCTGCCTACCCTACTATTTATTTTTTTTCCCGATCCTCACACTGATAAGGATCCCTTTAGTGAATAATTGAAATAAAATGGTAGTCCCAAAAAAACCCCGGTTTGTGTCAAGTTGATGTTAAACCTCATTTCTCTCTCTCTCTACAAACCAGACGAAAGAAGACTGGAAATGAACCGTCAAGTTCCTTCACTTCCACTATATCAAGTGAGAGAGAGGGAAATGGGGTTTAATGTCCAATCGACACAAACTAGGTCATTTCTTGACTAACATATGGTTCAATTTTTATTTTCAATAAAATGTTATGTTTATAAAAAATCTGGTTAAAACACAGATCCTATTTCATTTCATTTTTTATAGTTCAAAATTTTGTTTTACTTGTCTTTACTACGCTAGGATCTAGATCAGTTGTTATATAACGTGCCATCTGGATGGCGTGAGAGATTAGCCAATGAAACGGTCTGTTACGGCGAGTTTTTAGCATGAGGTGCACGGCAACATCAACGCTGATTGGTTAATCAAATGTCTGACGTCATAGGATCAAAAGTCGCCTGTATAACCTCTGACATGACCTTCCAGTACAACAGGTCAGATCTTCATGTAGTGTAGACCATCGAATGTGTAAAAAACATGAAACGAAATATAGATCTGTATTTTAATCAGATTGCTTGACTCAATGACAGATCTTGTGATTTCACGTGCATGCATTATCCATTCGGCCACCCAAACCCACTACGTCAACAAGTACATGGGTGGATCTCATATTTTCTTCCTATTCGTTCAACTAGATGCATTTCCTTGCAAGGTCCTCTGTCTGGAAAATCCTGAGAAACTGCAGGATCGAATCCTGTTGGGCCTGTTAGCATGCAAGTGAAATACAGAACTAAAGTGGCAACCTTGAATTTCAAAAGCATATTATCATTCCCAATGAATATACAGTATTATTATAACAGTATTATTATAACATTGATAAATTATGTATACATGTATCGAAAACAAATTCCCTTTCAAATTACAGTTACCAGAAAATTATAATTTTGAAATTCATAAAACAATATGGAAAATACGATCTACTGGTTCCAAGATGGTGGCCCTACAACTACCAGAGGGCTTACTGATGTTTGCCTGTACAATAGCAGATATTATAGAAAGGTTTGGACATTCTTGGTTTGCTTTTGATACTGGGCCCTTATTCACGAAAACTTAAAGTTAGTTACAACCAAAATTTTAAGAAATACTGCAACTTCATTGGATATATGCAAATTGATTTTACTGGTCAGCCAATCGAATTGCAGTATTTCTTAAAATTTCGACTGTATCTTAGTTTAAGTTTTCGTGAATAAGGGCCCTGATGTAATATTTATAAACCAGTCTCAGCAGTCAAGAAAAACAATTCAAATTGTTTATTTTAATGTCAAAGAAATAGTTATTGGGATATAGTATTAATTATTTCAGATTTATTGGTGTGTATACTATTATACTTGTAGCTATAGTATTATTTATCATTGATACTATTATTTATCATGGATACTATTTTAATTGTAGCTATAATATTGTAGATTTATAGGTGTGGATACTATTATGATAATAGCTATAATATTATTTATCATGGATATTATTTTAATTGTAGCTATAATATTGTAGATTTATAGGTGTGGATACTATTATGATTATAGCTATAATATTATTTATCATGGATATTATTTTAATTGTAGCTATAATATTGTAGATTTATAGGTGTGGATACTATTATGATTATAGCTATAATATTATTTATCATGGATACTATTATAACTGTAGCTACATGTATAATATATATTGTAGATTTATAGGTATGGATACTATTATACTTGTAGCTATAATATTATTTATCATGGATAATATTATAATTTTATTGTAGCTACATGTATATTGTAGATTTATAGGTGTGGATACTATTATGTTTATAATTGTGGATACTATTATGATTATAGGTATAATATTATTTATTGTGGATACTATTATAATTGTAGCTACAGCTTATTTATCATGGATACTATTATAATTGTATAATATCATACATGTATATTGTAGATTTATAGGTGTGGATACTATTATGATTATAGCTATAATATTATTTATTGTGGATACTATTATAATTGTAGCTACATGTATAATATATATTGTAGATTTACAGAAGCAGAAACTATTATAATGGGTGATGTAACATATGGTGCTTGTTGTGTTGATGATGCTACTGCTAAAGCTCTGGGAGCAGATTTAATGGTACATTATGGTCATAGTTGCCTTGGTATGTAGGATCAGCTTGTCTCCATCAGAAAAATAAATTGACAAAATAGACACCTAGGGGATACTCAATCGAATGTTCATGAACTAAATTTTCTCAATTTTACGAACAGTGACAATCGATGGAAACCAGGAATTTCAGGCTACAATGTAGTCACTGACTGACTAAGAAAACAATATGGGCTGTCAAAAATATTGCTATATTGATATATTGCAATATGAACGTCTGTGATACACTGTGTCGATGTATTTTTGCGGTATCAGTATTTTTCTAGTTTTATTTTATATTCAAATGTTAGCTATACTCTTTATAAAGACTTCAGTCATATTATTTAGGCTTTGCAGTAAACAATATGTCTGCAAAGACAAGATCAAAGTAGTAAAAACAAATAAAGTAAAATGTGTATTCACATAATCAGTCATATTAGTGTCCAAGACCAAAGTTGTAAAAAAAGTAAAACTATTCAAAATAAAACTGTGCTTTGTGATACACCCTGACTTTATCAAAGTATTGCAATACTTTTTGTCAAGTATCACAATATATTGCAATACGATTTTTGGCAGCAATACACAGCTCTATCTACCAACTATGATGACTGAAACATATACTCCAAAATGTATTTGGTCATGATTATACTCGCACTACCCTAGTTATCAGGGCCCTGTTTCTCTAAATTTTAACTAAAGTTAAAATCCAAATTTTAGTAGATACTTCAATTTTGATTGGCTAAGCACTAAAATCAGTCTAATATTATGCAATCAAATTACTAAAATTTGGATTTTATCTTAGTTAAAATTTCGTGAAACATGCCCCTGGACTGGTAGAACTGTGACTGCACTGAATTGTAATTCTGTCAGATTGAAATGTTTCAGTCTAATAATCGAGCATGCCCATTGTGTGGTGTCTGGTAGTGGTGTGGAGTAAATGTACACATTATAATTATTTTATTTCAGTGCCTATTGATACTACATCTGGTATACAGATGTTATATGTGTTTGTTGATATAAAGATTGATTCAAACCATTTTATAGAGACTATAAAATATAACTTTAAAAATGGTAGTTGTTTAGCACTAGTTAGTACCATACAGTTTGTGGCAACTCTTCAGGTATTGTAGCTTAGTGTTATTATCATTGCCGACATGGTTTCCCCTTGTCAGTGGTGCGGGAAGGAGGACCTGGCAAGGACAGCTGTCACATTATTCAGATGGGGCAAAAAAGATCCCTTGGCAGTTGGAATTCGATATGAAAGTAGGCCATAGTGTCACTGCCCAGGTAAAATTCACCTCATAGCACACTGTATGGTCTATGCCTATCTTCGTTAGCCCAGTCGGAGCAGAACGATAGGATATAAACCCCATTTCATTATCTTTGTCAAAATTATTAATGGCAATGAATTCATATTCTGAATATTATAGTCACCATTACCGGCAAGTGGTATGTGTATAACGTGGGCCTTACAGGAAACATTTATTCAATCGGATGCAACAGAAAACCAAGGTCCACTTTTGTATTCATTGACATGCACGTAAAAGATCCCTTCACAGGGCAAAATTTCTCTCACTTCATGTCTTCATTAGTCTGGATGGTGAAGAAAAGGACATATAGGATGTTCAACCTCATTTTATTTCAGTTATCTTTTAATTTATGATGATCCATCTTTACACTATATTGTAGTAATTATTCCTCATTTACTCAATTCATTATATTTTTATTTTAGTCTGTAAGTCGTGATTTAAGCAGTGATTTTAAAATCATAACACCCCAGTCGAAACCCTTATCACCTGGTGAAATATTAGGTTGTACATCACCTAAACTAACTGATGTTGATGCACTTGTGTAAGTTCTACTACTTCTACATTTTATACACATTCTTTCTTAATCTTTCTAGGAATACACATTCAATCATCAACATCTTTCTTTGAATACATTCAATCATCAACATCTTTCTTTGAATACATTCAATCATCAACATCTTTCTTGGAATACACATTCAATCATCAAACATCTTTCTTGGAATACACATTCAATCATCAACATCTACCAAAAAACTAAGTCATGGAAACTATGATATCCACAAAATTTCTAATTAGCAAATAACAGGTTGATGCATGTAGAAAATCCATAAAGATATCTTTAATAGTTTATGTGATTTGCTTCAGACTCAAAATCGGAAGAGATGTTTTTATGGATGGTGTAGATTTCAGTCTCTATCCTAGTTCTGCTCGGGATAATAAATTTTAAATATTAAATACTGTTATTGTGAAATAATTCATAATTTAACTGCAATATTGGTAACCATTTGTATATAATGTTAAAAATGTTACTTTTAATCAATAAATATTTTAATTTAATAACAGGTATTTAGGAGATGGAAGATTCCATTTAGAATCTATAATGATAGCTAATCCAACAGTTCCTGCCTACAGGTAAATAATAGTATTATGAATAAAATATCTATTTAAGATAAAATAAAGTCATTAGTGGGGGGGGGGGGGGGTAGCCAGTGCTGTATTACACACTCAATCAGACTTTTTTTTATAATTACCGGAGCTGTGGAAATATATGATGGTAAAAATCTCTAGCATGTATATTTCATGGAGCCACAGTGGCCACTCAGTAACTACTGTGTTGGGTCACCAGAAGATCCAGGATTTAATTCGGTTAGATCTGTTTTTTAAGGCCATCTCCAGATTTGGTCAAAGGTCACAAGATGTAAACAAGACTAGCACTAACCCACAATCTCGTCAACAATCACATGCCCTAACCTTATTTACATCTCAGTGACCGTGACGAAATCTGGAGGTGGCCTTAAGAAATAGATCTAGCCGGTTCAAGTTGGTTTTGCCCAGGACACTTTCACTTTTCTTAAGACTATGTTGTATTGCGTATGATCTGAAAGTCTATACACAAGACAACTCTCACTGAAGAAATAACTTGACTTTTCCTCCCACATCACCATCAACAATGGTTTGACAATGAACAAGAATGATTTAAATATTGATATAATTTCAGATATGATCCGTATGACAAGAAGTTTACCAGAGAATATTATGATCATGATAAAATGAAAGAAATGAGATATGCAGCAATAAAAACTGCCTCAAAGGCAAAAAGAATTGGTATAATTCTCGGTACTTTGGGTCGACAAGGTTCACCTAAAGTATTGGAGGTTGGTAAAGGAATTGTCTTGTAAATAAAAAAAAAATTAGAAGCAAATGTTTTGCAAATAATATGCACAAATCATATATGCAGATTGTTCTATTGAAATATATGCAACAAAAACTTAGAATTTTGTCAAAGCTCATTAACCAGGATGTTTATGGTTTGATCCTGGTCCCAATTTCACAAAACATTCTCAGACTTAAAGATACATTATGTAAGATTTAGATACAGAACTAGCCATTCTTGCTATAATAGTTCGAAAGTAGATGATGTAAAATGAATAATTTGAAAATTTCATTCAAATTACTCTATTGCAAGCGAAGATATTAGCCTTTGAAGGTTTGACAGACGTGTGCAATAATTTCAACCACCGTACTGGTTGATCGAAGCCAAGTCTCGGTCCTCCATATTTGATTAAATCAAAGTATCGCTGAACCATTCTAATCTATTTAATATCGGAGAAATCTGATGCCATCGAGAGTTGATTAAGGCCTGGATCAGTTAATTAATGTCTAATTAATACTTTAGAAAACATTTCAGGCCTAAAGAAAGACCTGCAATAGGCAGATTTAGCTCTTGCATAATGCATGTTTAACTTAAGAATATTGTTTGCTTTAATTTAACTAAAATATAGCCCTTTATAAATCCTTTGCTATTTTAATGTATTAAATACATTAATAAGAAACTATATGCAAACTTTTGTGCTTCTGGATTAAAGATATTTCTTATAAACAGTGAGGTGGGTGGATGGCTGAATGGTTAGCGTGCGCGCGCTGTATCATAAAGCGTGTCATTGAGTCAACTGGTGTGGTTTTGAATCCCCGGTTGTATGTGGCAAGGAGTAGGGTCGCCTCTCCAACCTCGTGGGTTTTCTCCGGGTCCTCCGGTTTCCTCCCACTGCTAAAGACCCCTACGCGCAAGCGAATTAATGAAATAAAATTAAACCATATGTTAGTCCCGAAATGACCTAGTTTGTGTCGAGTGGACGTTAAACCCATTTCTCGCTCGCTCTCTAATAAAAAGTGCTTGAAAGTTGAGTTAATTCTTAACTTAAAGTAGCTAAGTCTCTAACCCAATATCATCCAAAATCTTCGACATTTAAAACATGAATTATTTGTCAATTTAAATCAACGTTGATGTTCTGATCTTACCGGGAAAAGATGGCCTTCTGATATCCAATATTTAAGACAAAATAAACATTTTACCATTCATGTACCATGATGCGTTTCAGCGCTATCTGTAATAAGGGACTCGAAAAACAAGGCTAGGCATATTCCACAAGTCATGTCAAACGGTGACGCTATATTCTTATCTGGAGAGCAAGCCCAATTAATAATATCGGCGTAGACTGGAATAACCAGACGCTAGAGATTGAAATTCGATTGAGAATACTTGCGTATTTCACCGAACCTAACTGATTAGAAATTACAGTAAAAACGGAAACGTTTGAATGTAAATCAATTTATATACATTCATATTACATTATTGTATGCGTTGCGACCCATTTGTGTCAATTTCTCGGTCCAAATTATTAGCGAATTAGCTCCTTTAAGTCTGAGAATGCTTTGTGAAACTGGTGCCTGAAGTTGGCAGAGAAAATTGCTTAGGATTTTAAGGTCAGGTTTCCCATGCCAATGGTGTAGGATAGATGCCTGACAATTAAAAGTTGTCTAGTCAATGATTGGCTGAACAATTGTGGTCCCATGTAGCAAAATTACCTTCTAAGGGCCCCTCATTGCATATGCCCATCTTCATTAGCCCAGTTGTTGCAGAAAAGTCGGATGTTAAACCCCATTTCTTTGAATTTTTTTTTTGTATATTTTTCAGCATTTAGAGAAGAAAATACAGGATAGTGGACGTAAATCTGTTGTAGTTTTATTATCAGAAATATTTCCTTCTAAACTAGACTTGTTTTCAAATATTGATGCGTAAGTTATATTACACCTTGGATTTCAGAAAATATATTATCTTGAAATTGTGGTGATTATTTAACTGTTAGGGTTTGGGTTTATCAAAGATTTATGGTATGTGAAATCTGATGGTATAGAATAAATGCAGATGTGTGTGTATTTATCTGTGTGCATATAATGTGAATCATTCATGTCAATTATGTCTATGATGTAATGTGAGTTATTCGGGTGGGCATGTGCGGTAGACAGGAAGTGAGTGACAGGTTGGCGGGAGTGAATGGCCGCTCATGGCAGGGTTTTGATGTGATGTCAGAAGGAATAAAATGGTTATAATTAACAGTAATATTGTGGTCGTAGAAGTGTGTGGGTCTTGGGGATTTGTAAAATGTTAAAAGGGATCCAAGGGGTCAAAATATTGAGAACCACTGCTCTAGCAAAGTGTGTGATTGATAAGTAGATGCTTGTTTACAATCCAAGATCTGTCTTCATTAGCCTGTTTGGTGAAGAAAAGCATTACAGTTCACAGCAAGATGTTCCTGGTGATTGGGGAATACAGTAATGTCTTGAAAATCCCAGATGAACATTTAAAGCACATTTTGATAATGTATATGAAAGAAAAAGGTCATTTTACTGAGCTTAATTATAGAAACTAACATAACATTAATTAATATTTCAGATGGGTTCAGGTAGCATGTCCGAGACTGTCAATAGACTGGGGAGCAGCATATAAAAAACCACTCCTTAATCCATATGAGGTATTTTAATTATAATTTACATAAAGATAATGAAACTTATCTTAAAGACTTGGACAAATAGTCTTCTGAATATGACAATTTGAACTTACACCTCTTGAGCAACTCATTTGTTGGATAATCAGCACTTTATAAATAAATTATTATTAAATCAGTGATTTTTCTAACAATATCCATTTTTCATGGCTCAATCCAAGCTAAAAGATATTCACATTGATTGCAAATAATTAATAAAACCAAATTAAAATATCATCTCTCAATCCGTTAAAAAAAAGAGGCCTATCATAATTTAACCCAACACTTCTCCTTACGCTATATGAATACTGTTGATGAAACTAAACCCATTTTAGACTGATATTACTTCTAGAGTTTCAACATCAGGGCTCTCACTGTCGGTCGCCAAAGTCGCAATTTGCGATAAAAATATGTAAGTGGCGATTTAAATTTGATTTTGGCGATAATGTTTTGCGGTACTGGCAATTCTTTTTGAAAACTGGCGTAAAAAAATCTTCAAATTCTAATCGTATTTATCCTGCATTAACTCTTATTAAGTGTCAATCACATGTCGGAATACTTTAAATTAATCAACTGACTAATAATCTGGATCGCGTCAATGAGTAATACTAATCAGTTGTCTTGGATTAATGATTAGTTGATTGATAATTACCAATGATATATATAAAGCCTATCTCAAGTCATTATTTACTCCTAATGATTACATTAATCCAAGCGGTGATTAATTGATGTTTCGTTTCATCTTGAAAAGAATGGTAATATGTAATCAAAATGGCCGACAGTTACTTTTGAAGAGAATTAATTATTTTGATAGCTGAATTCCGTTTACAGTGGTTTCATATTGATAATACGTCATGTAAAATATACAAGCATGCATATCGGATATCATTATTTCAAATTATATTATTACCCTTGGTCGAAAAACGTAAAAACGAATTGAATAGTGACGATTCTTGAGCGAGAAAACAGTTTGCCATTTGTATCATATTATTGTCGCCAAAATGCTCTAAAAGTTAACGGGTATAATTGTAAGCATCTCTTACAAATATAATTGAAATTTATATCATTCTGTGAGGGATTCAGATTCTGATACCTCTACCGTACCTGAAAATAACAATTTGCCCCATTGTGCACGCAACACAAAAATTTATAGAAAATTAATTGGCAATCCCTGGATGAGATTTGACGTGTAAATACTGAAAATATATTGTGCAGTACGGTGTTCAAATAGACTAAAGTCACCAAAAATAATCCGATCTTATTAAATCCAAACTTTGCTAATCTATTATGTAAAGACAGATTTTTAAAGTTGTTGTATAATGTATTGTATATATTAGTATTTTTTTTTATAAGTCTAGCTGAGACATAACATTGTTAGATGTTGTCTTTTTTAACACACATTTTTGGCAATATAAAATATTCCAGTTGGCGGAAAAAAATATTAACATTTTTTTAAAATAAAAATTATCACCAATTTTGGCGGAAAAAATTGAAAGCCAGTGTGAGCCCTGTTAAACATTCATGATATTGCAGTTTGCATGGTTTTCAAAATACCTAAAATGACATCTGGGGTTAAAGCTTTCAAATTATATTATTTTTGAAATCTTTTTTTCAGCTGTCGGTAGCTTTAGACAATGTTAAGTGGAAGGAAGTCTATCCCATGGATTTCTATGCTAATGATAGTTTGGGTCCATGGACTGTTAACAATGAAGCTCACAGACCTCAGAGAGGGAACAAATCTAAAAGTAAAAAAGAAAAAACATTGGCCAGTTCATGTTGTAAAGACAATATTAGTTCAGACAGTGTATGTTGTAAAGATAACAGTTCAGATATTGCTTTTTGTAAAGATACCAGTTCAGATATTGCAAGTTGTAAAGATACCAGTTCAGATATTGCATGTTGTAAAGATAACAGTTCAGATATTGTAAGTTGTAATAAAGACAGCAGTTCAGATATTGTAAGTGGTAAAGATACCAGTTCAGATATTGCATGTTGTAAAGATAACAGTTCAGATATTGTAAGTTGTAATAAAGACAGCAGTTCAGATATTGTAAGTGGTAAAGATAGCAGTTCAGATATTGCAAGTTGTAAACAAACAGAAAGTAGCAAAGAAGAAGTAGTGAAGAATTGTGATTGTGCATCAACAACATAAATAAAACTATTGATTTATTTATTGTCTTTCAGCTCTTTAAAAAGATCTCATTTCCCTCTCCCCTTCTTAAAAATAACCAGATATTTGTTATAAAATTGTGCAGCAAAGCACTCATTATCCCGAAGATGTCTCACAAGATCTCTTAAGGGATTGAAAATCTCACAGTGTCCCTCTAAGTTATTGGAGATCTTATAATAGTCCTCTCATTCCGTGGCTCAAGAACTGAAAGTCTCCCAGTTACCCCCTCCATGATTGAAAGTCTCACAGTAACACCCTCAGCAATTGAAATCTTGCAGTGATCTTTCACAATTTTTCCTTCAGTGATGGAAAGTCTCCTGGTAGCCCTCTCAGTGACTGAAATCCTGCAGTGATCTTTTATTTTAGATGTTAAATAGTTTCACAGTGACCCTCTCTTAGCTAGACTCACATCCACTCATCATCATTATCATAAATGACTACTGTCCCTAATAAAATCTGTTTCTTCATTAGAATAAATAGGCTCTATGTTCTCTTCCCAGTATATAGTTGGCAACGACTGTAATCTTTCTATAGGGAATGTGTGTATAGACGTATCATTAAAAACATCTTTCTCACTATAGGTATCGGGTAAAGGTAGTTCAGACATATATGGTTCTATCTAACCAAGAGTCAAGGATATTTATTTTACAATAGGGGGGGGGGGGGGGGAGGGTCACGGTGGCTAAGTGGGTAAGACGCTGGCTCGCTAACCTGGAGGTCTGGTGTTCGATCCCTGCATTGGCTGAGAAAGTTCATCCCGATTTTCCGACTGTCTAGTTGTTTGGATGGGACGGAAAAACCGAGGTCCCATGTACACATTGGCGTGCACGTAACAGATCCCTTGACAGTTGGAATTCGATATAAGAGAAGGCGACAGTGCCAATGTCCGGGCAAAATTTCCCTCATGCACACTGTATGGCGTATGCACGTCTTCATTTGCCCAGTTCGGAGTAGGACGTTAAACCCCATTTCATTTAATTTTTATCTTACAATAATTAAGTTTTCATATAAAAGCTTATTGTTTTTTTTTTTTAAGATTATTATTACTCACAAATGTATTATCTTGGAATCTTTAAACTATAGAATCATTCTGAAGCTTTGATTTTTCTTTAAGATTCTTGACAAAATCTGTAACATGTGACCAGAAGGTATTATGAAAGCTACCTAGCAGATCTAGTTATAGTCATTCTTAATCACTTGATTCAGTTTTTATTGATTTCTGATTACTAAAAAGGATACCTTCAAAATGTAATTACCATTCTTCTCAAGCAGCCTTTTAGGTGTTCTGAAAAAAGTACCGGTAAATTTCCCAAAAAATAAATACTTACAGAACTAAGAAGGTCATATCTCTAATAATGTTGAGTAGCATGTATAGTTTATTTTAAAAAAAAAAGAATTGACAATTGTAAGGTTATATTGACTAAATTATGATTTAGATCAGTTTTAAATATTAAAGATACATTATGGGAGATAAGATATAAGAGATATAAGATAATAGTTAAAAACTAGATAGTGTAAAGGTAATTTGCTGGAAATTTCAGTCAAATTGATCCACTATGAGTTGAGAAAGAAGCGGGTGAAATTTTTGCATAGTCTCGGTCATCATTACTAAAATCATTAATATAAACAGCATAGTCTCGATTATCCACTTTTTCTGATTTAATTATCAATAGCCGTTAGCGGCATATAGGAATCTAATCCAGCCAACATCGAAGGCTAGCCTTGACATCGAGAGTTTATTATGGTCTGGATAAGTTAATTAATGTCTAATTGATAATTTAGATAACATTTCAGGCCTAAAGAAAGACTTGTAATAAGCAGATTTTGCTCTTGCATAATGCATGTTTAACATGGACCACTCTATACAGATATATATTGACACAGTCAAGTAATATTCTATCTCAAAATACAAATGTGACATCATCCTTTAATATTGGCATCCTATTATTTCAAATAATATACAGGTAACATGCCAATTGTATATTATTTTACACCAAATGAAATATTGGACTTGTGTGATGATTGCATTGATATGTATGTGTGGAATAATGTCTGTATTTTAAGTTGTTTAATGGTCTCAACTCCCAAGCCAGACATTGCATAATATAATGAAGCAACACTTGTGCCAACGTCCTTGTGCAGTATCAATATACAACATGATGTCTGGTTCTTGATCATTAAGGGGTGGTGAATGGTCAATTGGCGTGGTTTTTATTCCTTGGTTGTACGTGACAAGGAGTAGGGTCGTCTGTCCAACCTCGTGGGTTTTCTCCAGGTTTTCCGGTGTCCTCCCACTGCCAAAGACCCCTACGCGCAAGCGAATTATTGAAATAAAATTGAACCATATGTTAGTCCCGAAATGACCTAGTTTGTGTCGAGTGGATGTTAAACCCCATTTCTCCCTCACTTGATCATTAAACCATGCATAAATTCAGGAAATAATTACCTTTCTACCATGGAAGAAAAACTATTTCCAATAATGACTATTTTAGACAATAATTCCTTACTCCAGTTAGCCCATAATAAATTATTATATAATATTTTATGACAGTGAGGTAGATAATAGATACAGGTCTTGTTACTTTGTCCTTTACCTTCCTATAGTAAAACATGAAAATAAAACATAGTCAGACAACATCATTATAATACAATTACATTATATACATTTTATATTCAGTCTTACTTCACATTCTGTTAGTAAATAAACATCATTGTTAAGACAAAGTCATAATAAATATCATCATTGCAAGTCTTTCTTTGATAAAGTTGAAGGACAATATTGGTGTCAGTCATTATTACATATGTGATAGAACTGGTTAAATACAATCCAAATATAATATTAACACAAAGATCATTGCTACGGGAGATATGTAACGAGGGAGATATGTAACAAGCACGTGACAAACACGAGTTATCCTTCTATACAACTGACTAAAGTAACGAGCGATAACAGACAAACGATCACGTTTCATTTCACTGATAATTCCGTTGAAGTTGAAAAGTTATTATATGGGACGGTGAGAGGGTATCTTACAATTCAAAAATAGAATTGGCTGTCACTAGATAAGGGAAAACGAAAAAAATTGGAAAAATCCCATGCATTCCCCAATTTTTATTCATTCTGTTCTTAGTAAATACATGGTAATGCACAGACTTTTTCTAATTTGTTCGTTATCTTTTATCTACTAACAGCCAATTCTATTTTTGAATTGTCAGATATCCTCTCAACGTCTCATATAACTTTTCATCTTCAACTGAATTATCAGGTGGATGGCCGAATGATTAACATGTGCGAGTTGTATCATAAGGTAGCCTATGTCATTGAGTCAACTGGCGTGGTTTCGATTCCCCGGTTGTATGTGACAAGGAGTAGTATCGCCTGTCCAACCTCATGGGTTTTCTCTGGGTCCCCCAGTTTCCTCCCACTGCTTAAGACCCCTACGTGCAAGCGAATTATTGAAATAAAATTGAACCATGTTAGTCCTGAAATGACCTAGTTTGTATCGATTAGACCTTAAACCCCATTTCGCTAAAATTATCTTTTGTGTACACTATTTTGGAATTTTGAAGGCTCCTTAAAAATATTTTGTTGTTCGAAAATTAAAGCAATTGTAAATGGATACAAGTAGGTTTGCAGACTTGTCATTGATGATATGTTATTCTTGTACCTGATTTATTTCTGGAACAATCCATTCTAAATCTTGAAGAGTTTTAATTTCTACTGATGTAAAAACAGGATCATAACATAAAGTCTGTCCATGTGATATCTAAAAGATATAAGAATATACACTTTAACGAGGCTAAATGACAAAGTTCATAGGTGAAATGTTTTCCCAGCCTTGATTTAATTACCACATTTAAAGTGGCAATTTATGCAAGTCGAAATACATTGCTTGCTTCTTTGATAAACCTGCATATTAATTTAGAAATTCTAACACTCTTAAATAATATCCTTGGTTTATCTTTCAATAATGTTGTTGAATGTAAACAAATGTGTTTTTGATTGAAGAACAATAGGGTACGGTTCATCATTTCAATTGGATAGACAACCAATATAAATTTGAGAAAGATTGGATCATAATTGAGGCCTGTACTGTGCTAAAAGGATTAACTTTTTAACTAGGGAGTAACATGGAAGTAATTGTCAAAAATTGTTGTAAATCATTAACAACACACCAACAGACAAACAAGTGTGGCATCAATATTAACATAGGTTGCCAGGCAACAAAACATACTCCCACAGCAGCTAAATCGTCTGAGCAGTCAACAAGGGTTGTCACATATTTATTCTTTTGTAGGTAATTAGGGGAATTTAATAGACAATTTCATACAGATTACATTATAATTTTCGTCAGATGAGGGTTCACAAGGTTCTTAAAAACTAAAACAACGCCCTAACTCTAGATGTAATCTACAGAAATTGTTGAAATTCTACAGGCTTTTTCGTTTTACTAATTCAAATAATGCATATAAATTTCATACAGATCGGATGATAACTTTTGTCGTTTGACCATTCACAAAGTTCAGCAAAGTAAATCAAGGGCCATAACTCTAGACGTATTGACGGAAATTGCTGACATTCAATAGGCTTCTTCATTTCACTAATTTAAATGATGCATATGAATTTCATACAGATTAGGTGATAAATTTTGTTCACAAGATTCAACAACGTTAAACAAGGGCCATAACTCTAGATGTAATTAATGGAAATTTGCTGAAACTCAATATAGTCTTGTTCGTTTTACTAAATTAAATGATACATTTAATACAGATGGGATAATAACTTTTGTGAAACAAGGGCCATAACTCAAGGTGTAATTAACGGAAATTGCTGAAATTCAAAAGGCTTCTTCGTTTCACTAATTTAAATGATGGATATCAATTTCAAACAAATCGGATGATAACTGATGATAACTAATGGAAATTGCTGAAATTCAATAGGCTTCTTTGTTTTAGTAATTTAAATGATGCATATAAGTTTCATACAGATGATCGGTTGATAACTTTTGTCGTTAGAGCGTTCTCAAGGTGCAACAAAGTGAAACAAGGACCATAACTCCAGAAGAAATTAACGGAAGTTATTGAAATTAAATAGGCTTCTTCATCTCACTAATGCAAACAACATATATCAATTTCAAACCAATCAGATGATAAATGTAGTCTGTAGAGTGTTCACAAAAAATTGTGGACGATTGACGGACGGCAATATACGACCACGTGGGCGTATAAAAAATATGGGCGTGAAAAAAGGTTTGACCATAAAGGCCGATCAGAAGACCTAATTGACCTTAAGATATATATATATTACACGCACAAACTTTTAATTTGAATTCATCAAATAAATGAAATCATTTTGTACCTACATTTAATTCACTTCTCAGAGCAAGAGCTAAATCCAACTGTTGCTTAGCAATCAAGCTAGAAGAAAAATTCCCTAGTCCAAAGACAACCAAATCATAATCACCGGAAGCTCTCGGTAAATATTTTATGGCTTTTACCATTCCTTGAAAATAAAGTACAAATAAGGTATATATATATATTCTCTGCTGATAATAAGGAACATAGCCTGTGTAATTGTTATGTTAAGGTACAATGTAAACTTTTGACATTCTACAAATGTTATCATAGTCACCATTATGTGAGAGAGAGAGAGATAGAGAGAGAGAGAAATGGGGTTAACGTCCACCCGACACAAACTAGGTCATTTCGGGACTAATATATGGTTTAATTTTATTTCAATAATTCACTAGCACGTAGGGGTCTTTAGCAGTGGAAGTAAACCAAAGGATCCGGAGAAAACCCACTAGGTTGGACAGGCGACCCTGCTCCTTGTAACGTACAACCAGGGATTCGAAAAACCACGCCAGTTGACTTAATGACAGGCCTTATGATACAGCACGTATGTGCTAACCATTCGGCCATCCAACCCCCCTCACCATTATGTATTATTGCAAACCAATCAATGGATGAGGTCTGACTTAGTGTTTGACTCAGTCCTAATTAACTTGTCTAATTGATTATGGGTTTACTATGCAATTCAAGTCCACCGTCAGATTTTCCCTGGTTGTTACAAATATCATACTTTCAGATAAAAATAACTTTTGAGGATGAATAAATGTTAAAATGACCCAATTATGCTTTCAGAGGGGCACATAATAGCAGATATTGAATGGCTTTTAATTTACAGGTGATCAAATTCAAAATTACTTCAGTAAGCTTACTGGTAAATATAAGACTAATATAATAATTAAACAAATTTGAAATTACCATACACTTCCTTGAAAAACTTGGTTTCCTTGAAGATATCCCTGAAAAAAAGGTGCAAAATAGCATTATAATTCCTATTGAATCCCTTCTCAATATAATATTTCATAAAAAGGAGGGGGGTTGGATGGCTTAGTGGTTAGCACGTGCGCGCTGTATCATTAAGTCTGTCATTGAGTCAACTGGCGTGGTTTCGAATCCCCGGTTGTACGTGACAAGGAGTAGGGTCGCCTGTCCAACCTCGTGGGTTTTCTCCGGGTCCTCCGGTTTCCTCCCACTGCTAAAGACCCCTACGCGCAAGCGAATTATGGAAATAAAATTGAACCATATGTTAGTCCCGAAATGACCTTGTTTGTGTCGAGTGGACGTTAAACCCCATTTCTCTCTCTCTCTCTCATAAAAAGGATTGATATAAGCAGAGATGCATGCTTGACAGGGTGTATTCCTGTTTGTTGCAAAAGTTGGCTGAAAGGAGAATCATTTTTGACCTCATACAGCTGTGATGAAAGTGATATATTAAATTGGTCCGACTTACTAATAAAATGAATATATTCAACAAAATCTGACAGAGTTTGTCGACATCCCACAAAAGAAATCCAAACTTAAAATCCTATGAAATTGGCATGATTATACTAATGCATATCAACTTAACCAATATTGTCATGTCATTTTAAGTGTACATGTACCTGGATATTAATTGTTTTCTTTTTAAATTTTCTGTTTTTATCAGAAGTTCAGATTCATCACACTCGTCATCCACTTTTCTGGATGGTGTTGTAACTGTTTTTAATCTTGGTGTTTTGAATTTTTTGCCTCGTTTATGTTTTACTGTCGTGAAATCATCTGAGTTGTTCATCCTTGGACCGTTTTGGACACTCAGATCATCTGAATCTTTGTAAAAATTTGACCAATTTGACAGCTCCACACGTGCTTTCTGCCACCGGAAGTTTACAAGTTGGCACTGGAAGGGATACTAAATTGAAAACAAAACTTTTAAGAATATTTGTAGGTTTTACTTGATTGTGTGTTATTGAAATAGTATTTGTTCTTATTGAGATAAATACTGACACAAATTGAAGTTTTACATCATGCAAAACTTGCATTTAAAATCCAATTCGTGAATATTTACTAAATTTCCCCTTTTAAGGGACGTAACTCCAGTTAATCAAATGGAATCAGACTGCTATCGATATCCATAAAACTCATTGTCAAACATAGAGTTATATAGCTCTATGGTATCAAACCACAACTCTTTGTGAGTTCAGACTGTTTTTCTTCCACAGTAGTTTATGCTTTTGGTCATGGAAATTCCAACAAAAAAACAAACAAAAAAAATTCAATGCTGGTCTATCTCACTACAACTGTCAACCGTTACTTTTTAACTGAAAGATTTAGAATTTGAAGGATTAATTTAATAAAAATAAATAAAATAAAGTATTGGACAGTTATCTAACCCAGTAATCTGACAGTATCATCAACTATGAACTGATATTGATATTATATTGTTTGTAAGGCACTGATGTTGTTATCTTACCATAAAAAGATGGGCTTCTGATATCCGGTACTTAAGACAAAATGAAAATTTTAAAATTGGCACACAAATCGTATGCCAGAATGCTTTCGGGTGCCATTTGTAATGAATCGACTTGATGAACGAGGCTAAACATATCCCACAGGAGAATACTAGGGGCTACTGGTGTTGACTGGAATAACCAGACGCCAAGACTGCCATTCAATCTGGACTCTTCGCATATTTTGAGGAAAATAAATGATTAGAAATTACAGTAAAAACAGAAAGACTAATGTAAATCAGTTTATATACATTTATATTACATTATTATATGCGTTGTCACCCATTTATAATTGTGTCCATTTCTAGGTGCCAATGAATAGGGATTTAGCTCCTTTAAAGATGCTAGTTATTGTTATCCATAAAGTTGTGTTTGTGTTATTTTATCATATTGAAATGTTAATCATTGTGCTTGAGAACAAAGGTATTTATCTGACAGAGATTTTCAAGATAAAATCAAGACAATTACGTTAACTGATATCTATTCTATAAAAAAAAGATGAAAAGAGTCTTTCACATGCGATACTGGTTAATGTCAATATCCTTTAGGTTGCATTAATTTCATGATTATATTAGTAAATAATATAATATTCCTTGACCTTCCTTGTCAAACATCCATCAGCCATGGCATACTTTTATTTGAATTGTAATTTATAGAGCCACCCGCCAGTAAGATTACACATATCAGGGGCGGATCTAAAAATTTTGAAAAGGGGGGGCGCTGCAAAATGAAGGCATTGACCGCGGAGACGGGGCACGCCGCTGTGGGGGGGGGGGGGGGTCCCCAAGAAAATTATCCGACATTTCCTTGCATCTGTAGCCATTCCAAGAGCTATTTCCCAGACTGGTGTGTTTGAGTCAATGGTTTGAGTCATTTGGGATCCCTACAAGGGTTGGGAACGGACATATTTGAGTCTGAGAAAAGGCACTTTCAGCAGTAAAAAAGGGCACTGCCAATGTGTACGCGGGACCTCGGTTTTTCGTTCCATCCGAACGACTAGACAGCCGCCTTGTCAGGCCCTCCGTCCTGCATCACTGACAAGGGGCCTGGGAACCACACCAGAAAATTTGGATGAACTTTCTCGACCAATGCAGGGATCGAACACCCGACCTCCAGACTCGCGAGCCAGCATCTTAGCCACGTGATCCCCTCGTACCCTATGGATTCGGCTGCCATTTCGGCTGCCAAATAAAAACATATAAATTGTGTTGTGTTTTTTTTAAATAAAAACATATCCCACAACACACTGTGGAAGTAATTGGTAAAGGCTGATTCACAATAGACAAAATAATAATCTAAAAAACGTGTAGAATGCACTAAGCAGGCATAAACGACTGCCATTCAATTTGAACTGTTCACTTATTTTACTGAACATAATTGATAAGAAATTACAATATTTTTTATAAATCACTTTATATACATTCATATCATATTAATTAATATGTGCTTTTAGAACCATTTTTGTCTATTTCAAGGTTCCAAAAAATAAGAGCCATCTGCCCTTTAAGCAAATGGAATCACTAACCAGGAGGTTGAGCTTCTCAGTATTTTCTCACCTGCTTTTCCATTGTCAGGGCCTGGCAACAAAAAGGGTCTAGTCATTTGGATGACACAAAAAAAAAACCAAACAAGGACCCCTGCATACCATTGATAGGTCGTATAAGAGGCCCTCACAGTTGGAAATAAAAGTAGGCAGTATTTACCACTGTCAGGATTAATTTCCCTCAAAGCACGTTGCATGGCAACTCATCTTCATTTGACAGGTTAGTGCAAAGATCAAATAAGTCATATGGAATTTAAATTCCATGTATAATAATAGCCAATAATGAAACTGATACCCGCTTGCCTTAATCCAAATAAATAAATTGAGATTATTTTTTTTTGGCACACTTAGTCAAGCTGCAGGTGTAATGAAACTATACCAAGTTTAATCACTCTTCTTTAATTACGAATTAGTTATCATATTGCAAAATCTGGATAAATGAAATAGCTTATATCTGCTCAGCCAAAGTACAAAATGCTCATTATTCACCTTATGAATATCTACACCAAGGTCGAACATTGATATTGTGTTCCAATTAGAAGCATATTTATTGTGATACTCAGATGAATGGATGGAAAATGGTCTCCTGCTTTCTCGGAAAGGCAATGGAAATTAACAAAAAAAGAAGAAGACAATTTTAGTTTTCGGAGAGATTTTTATTCTCTGACAGAACATGAAAAGCATATCATATGATTTCAATGGTTCACAAAAAGAAATATTAATTTCATACCTGCTCTATTAAATAGTTGAAGATCAACATTTACTTGAAACAGAAATTATGCTTCACATATACGGTAATAAAAAGAATATATTATTCTAAGAAGCAACTTTGGTTTTTTGAATAGTTGGAATTATTGAGTCACATCTTACATTTATAACCATATAACATTTACAACAATGAGGTTTTCAAAAGTAATATCATATCAAAAATAACAACAGCAAAAATACATGTAGTTAAACTGTAAAGCTGCTGATTATCATTTATGGGTTTTGTATTTACCTCAAAGAATTAAATCTGATTGTCACCATTTGGGGGGGGGGGGGGATTTTGAATCCCTTGCAAACTGCAATTTTTTAAAGGGTGACTTTCTGAATATCTCTATAAATATGGTTAAATTGCATTCCGTATATGATTAATTGAAAATTCTTCAACATTTAGCATCGTCTGCAGACGATAAAAACAAAATCTTTTGATGGGCGTTGTTTTTAAATCTCACGGATTCAAAGTGGGGAGATCATCTACTATGGATATTTCGGTTTTGTCTTCTTTCTAATTAAATTGTAAAATAGTCATATTTTAGTACATAATAAATCGTGAAGTATTGGATATTGTCAGAAAAAAGTAAATGACCATCAGCATATTTAATAAGAGCAAAATATGATTTTTGTTAAATTATCAATGTAGGTAAAGGAAGGATATAATTTATATCATGAAAATGAGAAAATAAATAATGATAAATTTAATGGCATAATGAATATGGTAGTTATGAAAGATCATAAAATAGTGTAAATATGAAATTAAATTTACATTCAGCTACATGTAAGGCCACAAAAAAAATTATTCTGGTTCTCAGACATTCCCCCCTAAAAATCTGAGGTAATTGGGGTAAATAATATGACTGCTCATACATGTAAATATCACATTCTAAGGCATTATATTTATCTCACCATGTTGTTATTAGGAATGCATGATTATCCAGTATTTTTTATGGGACTAGCCTATTTGATGGTCGAGTCTACGGTATATTTCCAAATTCATTACAAAATTTTTATAGAGTTACTTTCGGTCCCGTAATTAATGTAACTATTCCAAAAAATGAAAGGAAATGGGTTTAAAGTCTGCATCGACTGAGCTAATGATGACAAAAAATAAAAAATGCCATGTAGCTCTATTTAAGTGCCACAGGAGTATCTGAGAAACACAATATTTTTTAATATACGGCCTAATCAATATGAAGACATTTAACAGCATTTCATTGCATGCTTTTTCGTTGACAAAATTATGCATGTGTTTAAATTCAAGTAAATCTATTAATAGATTTGACACCCACAATAATTGCACTAAAATATTTAATAATTATTTCATTGCTTGTACTAATTTTATTACAATCTAATAGATTTTTCAATGGTATGAATTAATATTCCTTCAAGTATTTGAAATAAATAAAAAAATTACTTGAATAATGTATATGTATTGACATACATGTATATGAACACTGACTTTAATAATGACTTTACAATATTTAAAGCTTTCTGGTGAAACTAATGGTATTTTCGTAATGATCAAATAGACATGTATTTAAACATACATGTACATTATAAATACAATACATCTAAAATCACAGTTCATGGCAGAAAACATTTTGTTCAATATGTTGAGATTTGTGCATATTAGGGTTTGACTATATCTTTAGTTTTGTGATAATAAATGGGGGTATATGCACCACTGGCCAGTTGTTATACTACAGCTGTATGAAGATCGTTCATGTCTGCCTCGCGTCTTTATTTAACTCCTGTACTTTAGATGGTGATGGTAGTAGTCTTTAATAAAGCTTTCATGTCTGCCTCATGTCTTTCCTTAACTCCTGTACTTTAGATGGTAGTAGACTTGAATTAATACAACTTTCATGTCTGCCTCACTCTAGTATATTTTGAATATTAGATCTTTAGGAGGACTTTATAAAGTCATATATTTATGTGCATATACATGTACCTTGTGTAAATTAAAGGTATTTCAATAGAAACAGGTGTATTATAGATTAACAATCCCATTCAATGAACATAATCCATTTATAACGTATAACACAACTAAACAAACATCTTCAAGCTGAGTTGAAGAAAGCATTAACCAAAACTTGGAACCACACATTAAAATATCGCGTTAAAAAAAGGGTCCACATCACAGTTGAATTGATAAAAACATAATCCCTGAGTTAACTTGAGCATCAGAATTGGGTTAAAATTGTATTTTTCCAGTCATCTCTTAAAGTATGTTCGAACAACGCTGCTCTATTTTGGTTATCTCCCCTTTTAACCCAATGTCCGTACATTCCAAATGCAGCTCCGTCAATAAGTTTTCTACACAATTTGACACTGTATGGATTAGTTTTTAAAACGTCACTTGATATTGGTAATGGATTGACATAGAAGAATTTTAATCTGTAGAAAAACCTAGCACATAATATTGCCGCCTGAAAAAGAAAGAAACAATAATGGATTATGTTTTGATTTAATTTAATCAGATTGTTATTTGGAGAGAGTGAGAGAGAGAGAGAGAGAGTGAGAGAGAGAGTGGAATGGGGTTTAATGTCCACTCGACACAAACTATGTCATTTCGGGACTAACATGTTTTTTTAATTTTATTTCAATAATTCGCTTGCGCTTAGGGGTCTTTAGCAGTGGGAGGAAACCAGAGGACCTGGAGAAAACCCACGAGGTTGGGCAGGATTGTTATTTGGAATACTGTGGGGTGCCGTAGTGGCTCAGTAAGTAAAGCCCTGGGTCGCTAGCTTGGAGGTCTTGTGTTCAATCTTGGTGTTGACCAAGACAGTTCGTCCAGATATTCTGTTGTGGTGATGCGGGATGGAGGGCCTGGCAAAGGACAGCACATAGTCCTTTCAGATGGTAATTTAATTTCATACAAAAAAAGAATGGAATTGGCATCCCTTTTTCTTGGCACTTTAGTAATTCAATCGGAAATACATGGTACACATTGAACGTTTGATCAGGACTAGCCAAGTCATATCGAAATGTCACTCAGTACTAAACAGTAATTGTATTCCACAGAACTGTGACCAGTGAGGAAAAATATGTTTGCTGGTTTGTCCTGTGTGGAAAAATTGCCAGTCTAATATTGGATTTACACTTGATAATTTGCTGCCCATACAAAAAAAAAATTAAAAAAAGTTACCAATACATTTTAACAAATATACAAACCTTGAACACTCTTCGTGCATAAAATTTCTTTTCGGGACCAAGCTGCAAAACAAAATAGTTATTGATATCAAATCTGTGTGCCTTTGTGACAGTAACGTTTCAAAAGGGGAGTGGAAGTGACTTGAGAAACGCCTTTAGAAATAGGAAGCCACAGTGGCTTGGTAAGTTCAACGCTGGACCAGTAATCACAAAGGTCCAGGGTTTGATCCCGATGCTAGCTGATAAAGTTCCTCAGTATATTTCAACTGGGTTAGCCGTGTTGGTGGTGCAGGGATTAGGGTCTGACAAGAAAGGAAAAGCGCTTCTACTGGTAATTCTGTGAGATCATTTGTTTTAGTACATGTGTTACTATGGATAATTCATGGTCATTTTATATCGCAATAAATTTATAAATGAATGTATAGATACCTCTCTAACAAAGAATGGATGAGCTAAGCACTCTTTAACTGTCAGCCGTTTTTTAGGTTCAACAATTAATAATTTTGAGATCTGAAAAAAAGAAAAAAGAATAAAACATTTCATAATATTATTAGAGATTTATGTCACAGGAAAAAAAGTTGGGTTGCCAGGCAACGAAACATACGCCCACAGCAACTAAATCGTCCGGGCAGTCAACAACGGTTGTCGCATATTTTTACTTTTTTCGGTAATGAAACATTTATAATACACTAAAATCTGATTAAGAGCAACAACTCACTAAGTAATTATCAGAAAACTATTAGAACTTGTTTGGTTTTTATAAAGTTCTGCCCCATGCTAACGTTTTGTATGCAAAGCTTTTAATATCATGGATTTAACTGTTTGTCATAAAAATTCATTGAAAATCAATATACTTGTTCGTCTCAAGATCTTAAACTCTGTGTGTCAATTTGAAGTCAATCAGATTATAACTTTAGCCTTTAGAGCATTACAAGATTTTGCAAAGTGATCAAGGGCCATAACTTTGGCAGTAATTATCGGAAATCGTTGAAAATCAATAGGAATCTTCGTTTCATGACCTCAAACACTGTGTTTAAATTTAAACTCAATCGGATATTAACTTTAGCCTCTAGAGCATCCACAAGATTCTTTGAAGTGATCAAGGGCCATAACTCTGGCAGTAATTATCGGAAATCGCTGAAAATCAATAGGCTTCTTTGTCTCATGACCTTAAACACTGTGTATAAATTGAAAGTCAATCGGATATTAACTTTGGCCTCTAGAGCGTCCACAAGATTTTTCAAAGTGATCAAGGGCCATAACTCTGGCAGCAAATATTGGAAATCGCTGAAAATCAATAGGCTTCTTCGTCTCATGACCTTAAACACTGTGTATAAATTTAAAGTCAATCGAATATTAACTTTCGCTTCTAGAGCATCCACAAGATTTTTTGAAGTGATCAAGGGCCATAACTCTGGCAGTAATTATCAGAAATCGCTGAAAACCAATAGGCTTCATCATCTTATGAGCTTAAACACTGTGTATAAATTTAATGTCAATCGGATGTTAACTTTAGCCTCTAGAGCATCCACAAGATTTTTTGAAGTGATCAAGGGCCATAACTCTGGCAGTAGTTATCGGAAATCGTTGAAAATCAATAGGTTTCTTCGTCTCATGACCTTAAACACTGTGTATAAATTTAAAGTCAATCGGATATTAACTTTGGCCTTTAGAGCATCCACAAGATTTTTTGAAGTGATCAAGGGCCATAACTCTGGCAATAATTATCGGAAATCGTTGAAAATCAATAGGCTTCTTCGTCTCATGACCTCAAACACTGTGTATAAATTTAAGGTCAATTGGATATAACTTTGGCCTCTAGAGCGTCCACAAGATTTTTCAAAGTGATCAAGGGCCATAACTCTGGCAGTAATTATCGGAAATCGCTGAAAATCAATAGGCTTCTTCGTCTCAAGACCTTAAACACTGTGTATAAATTTAAAGTCAATCAGATATTAACTTTAGCCTCTAGAGCGTCCACAAGCAATTGTGGATGCCGGACCGACGGACGGACGGACGGACAGGGGCAACGACAATATACAACCACATTTCAATGTGGGCGTATAAAAATACTCATGTTAGGGTAACCCACTGAGTCAAAATTTGATCTATTAAAAAATAAACTTTCTACAGCGATGATCACAATCAAATAGCCAGTTCCCAAGTCATTAGAAGACAGACACGCAGATAATGCATAAACTGGAGAAGCTTGTATTAGCCTATAAATAGCCATCTCATGTGAAATTAAATCATAAATAATCTATTGTTAACATTCCAAATTACAGTAAGGCCACACAAAATAAATGTCTTGTTTCTCGGGCAACTGACAGCTGAAACTGTAGGGAGGGAGGGCGGTTTCTTTTTTTTTTTTACTCATTGATGGTGCAAAATAAAATTTGGCTATTGCTGAAAATTGTTGGGGCGGGAGGGCGGTCTTTCTTTTCTTTTTTTTTTAAAATGAGAAAGTCATTACTTGTTTACGTTTTTGCTTTCCGTTATATTCAACTTTATTGTACATACTTAAAACATAAACCCAAAATCAAGTCTACTAAAACACTGAGACTGAACACTGACTGAAAGGAAAATAATTTTCCATATTTAATTCACATAATTGAAATTGGTTTAAAATAAAATTCCATACGACTATGTAATAGCCCTCCATAAAGACAACAATATTTTTAAAAACTAAGCCTCTTTCACCAGGTGTATCAAAAATAATAATCATGGTAAACAGTATTTAAAACTAAATCTAGTATCGCCGGTTTATTTATAATTATTTACCGAATTCCAACCAATGCATGTCACACCGTGTCATCGGTATTGGAGATTGCCGGAAATATTGTTTCTTGGGATATTCGGTGTGTTTCTCAGGATATTCGGTGTTCTATCCGGTGTTTATATTGAATGACTATTTAAATCTAACTAACAACTGGTCAGTAAAACCATCAAATCGGTAATCCAATTATTATTTTCTGGATTATCGAAACTACCGTAAATGTGCTAATAATGACCCAGATTCTAAGGTATGCATTATGACGACTATCGTCATCGTATCGTATTCTTAGCTATAATTAATTAACCTGTTCTACGGTTCATTATTTTATCAATAGGATTTTCCAAACAAGGACCGACTGAAGCCGGCAATAATGAGCCGATTACGATCGAATGATTGAAATATTGTCGCCAATGACTTTTAACACGAATCAAATTCTAGTTTATCAGGGGAGGTAATTAATATCACGTGATACAAAATGGAGGTTCTTTCGATATCAATAAAAAAGGCAAATCTGCCAAACTTCGCCATTGTTCGGATAAAAAAGACAGCATGTTCATCTGAATCAGTTTTAATACATTTGAATAGATATACATGTATGGCGGATGTAGGTACATGCGGGATATTTTTTTTACGACTTGCTTGTCGATGTGCGGGCGGGCGTTACATATTTATTTTTTTCATCAAGACTAATAAATAGACTGCACGCGCAACCAATTTTGCGTGCGGGCGGTGCCCGAGAAACAAGTTATTTTATTTGTGTTGCCTAATATAGCTTGTTGGTTGTTACAACAGATTTAGAAAATTACATTGGCTTCTTTTTTAAATTCACTATATCATTAACTATACTGCTAGGAGCGGAATATTTTGGTTTAGTACAATTAATAATTTCGAAGCACATGGGTTAGGCAAGAACAGTATTTTCCTTTTGCTTTTACTAGGTCTAAAACATTCGTTGAGTTTATCTAAAAGAAAAAAAAAATTTACCAGATCTTTAGGGGTTTCACTAATATCATCCCATTCTGGACTACCAAATGAATAATTAGCTTGCATAATAGCTCGTAACATTAACATCTGTTTTCGATGCCAAAATGGAGGAGAGCCGCAGAGTCTGAAATATATGGCACATCATCTTTTAAACTGTATGTTAATTTTAAATGACAATGTTGATATTCACCGATCTTACATATAAGATAGAATTGATTAATTAAAATGGAATGAGATTTATTTTTCTAATATTTATTTTTCTACTCTTATATCGAATTCCAACTGCCAAGGGATCTTTTACGTGCACGCCAATATGTACACGGGACCTTGTTTTTTCGTCTCATCAGAATGAATGAATGGATGAATGAATGAAATAGGGTTTAACATCCTACTTTTCTGCACCAACTAGTCTGATAAAGATGGCAATATACCAAACAGTGTACTGTGAGGGATATTCTGCCAGGACAGCAATTGAATTCCAACTGTCAAGGGTTCTTTTATGCGCTCGCCAACAGGTATACAGGCTGTCATTTTTCTGTCCCATCTAAACGACTAGACACTAGGCCCTTGCAGTGTCCACTGACACGGGGAAACCACAAAGAATTTTTTGGTCAACACCAGTCTTCCTGGTCAGTGAGTCAGCGCCTTACCCACTGAGCCACTGTGGCTCCCACATCAGAGAATGGTTTGTTTTAGTAAATCTGACAGTTTCTTATCTAGAGATCTATAGAAAATTGAAAGCGATTACTCACAATGTAAACATGATAACACCACATGCCCACCTGTAAAATTAAAAGAAAAAAAAATATACTTGTTCATCTCAAGATCTTAAACTCTGTGTATCAATCTGAAGTCAATCGGATTATAACTTTAGCCTTTAGAGCATCACAAGATTTTGCAAAGTGATCAAGGGCCATAACTTTGGCAGTAATTATCGGAAATCGTTGAAAATCAATAGGAATCTTCGTTTCATGACCTCAAACACTGTGTATAAATTTAAACTCAATCGGATATTAACTTTAGCCTCTAGAGCATCCACAAGATTCTTTGAAGTGATCAAGGGCCATAACTCTGGCAGTAATTATCGGAAATCGCTGAAAATCAATAGGCTTCTTCGTCTCATGACCTTAAACACTGTGTATAAATTGAAAGTCAAATGTAAACATGATAACACCACATGCCCACCTGTAAAATTAAAAGAAAAAAAAAACCACTTTAGTTCATTTTTATTATTCATTGCATATAAATAGTTCAAAAATATGATGCAATCGATCTTTATTTCATCAATATTCATGATTTCCATTTTAGATTCTGATTTGATAAAGTCTGAATCGCTGAAAAATTTAAAGAGATTATCTGGATTTGAATACTTACATATCTACTTCTTTACCGTAACCTGGAGCATTATCATACATAGAAACAGCTAAAACTTCAGGTGCTAAATAACCAGGTGTACCACATAATTCTACAAGTAATAAACATCCATATATTATATATTATATAGAAATCAACCATATTATACATTATACAGAATGAAACATTAGGCAAAATGGACTCTGTTAGCATAAGGTCTGTGGCATGGTTTCTATTCCCCACTTGTAAGTGACAGGGGGTAGGGTCACTTGTTCAACCTTTCGGGTATTTAACGGTTCCTCCGGTTTCCTTCCACAGGTAAAGACCCCTATACGCAAATGAATTATTGAAATAAAATTGACCAATGTTAGTCCTGATATGAACAAGTTGTGAAAAACCTACCAGTTAATTCTTCATCTTTGTTGACAACTGTAGCAAAACCAAAATCTGATACTTTTACACTTAAATTATCATCTAGTAAAATATTTTCTGGCTGAAATATAAACATTGGTGTTGGGTAAAGCAAAAAAAAACAACCTGTGTTTACGATTACTTTGCCGGAAAAATAAGGTGGGATTTTTATTATCTATTTCCAAGCATTTCTAGCTTAATTATTGAGTAAGTTTCCCCAAGACCGAGTAGTGATATGGCCTGGGAAATCGATTTTGACTAAAAAAAAAAAAAAAAAAAAAAAAAATAGAGTCAACTGGTAGCTGAAAACAAGGTATTTATATTTTGGCCTTATAAACAACAGTGTCTATCACTATTAATCCAATTCTTATTCCAGGGACAAAACGTGTGAAAACCAGTGGGTCACAATGTTGTCAGACAGATTCTATGTTGATCACATGTTTAAGATCACAAGTGTGGTATATTTGGTATAGACAGTTGATTATTAAGTTATATTCAGTCTATGGGTCCATTGTACATAATTTCAGTTGACAAATCTGAGGCCCACAATATAAATAATAATATAAACAGTAGCCAGTTTGATGACCAATTGCTGATAAAGATGGCCTTTATATTCAACTTTAAATTATAAATGAAATGGAGTTTAATGTCCTAAAGGAGACAGACATACACCATGCAGTGTTCTATGAGGGACGTTTTGTCCAGGTAGCAGTGCTACGGCCTTATCTATTTCGAAATCCAAGTGTCAAGAGTTCTTTACATGCACGCTGATGTGTATATGGAACCTGTTCCTGTGTTATTAATAGTTCTGTTGTCTATATTTACAAACTATGTAGCAAATTCCAGGATAGTAGAAGAAGTAAATTTACACTCACCTTTAAATCTCTATGTACTATATTTTTATCATGTACAAATAATACAGCTTCTAATAATTGTCTCATTATAATTCTGTAAATAAATAACAACTGTTAAAGTTTCTGAACAATCAGACAATCAAGAAGATTAGATGATGAATTTTACAAGATTCTGCAAAATGATCAATTGTTTCAATTACTCTAGAGGGAGAAAATTTATGGGGTTTAACGTCCACTTGGCACAAACTAGGTCATTTTGGGTCTAACATATCGTTCGATTTTATTTTAAATTCAATAATTTGCTTGCGCGTAGGGGGTCTTTAGCAGTAGGAGGAAATGGGAGGACCGGGATAAAACCAACGAGGTTGGACAGGCGACCCTACTCCTTGCCATGTATAACCAGGGAATCGAAACCTCGCCAGATGATTCAATGACAGATCTTATGATACAGCACACACACGCTAACCATTCCCCCCCCCCCTTCAATTACTCTAGAAGTAATAAATGGAAAGTGTTTCAGCTGATAATAATTTCCAGAAAAATATGAAAATGCTCTAACCATTGCGTATACATTTTAGTAAATCGAATGATTACTCTAACCTTCAGAGGGTCAACAAAGAATTGTGGATAAGAGTAGGGGTGATGGCAATACATGTATACAATGAAAATTAAATGTGTTCATATAGAACTATTTGTTCCATACTTACATTTTACTTACTAAATATTCAAACTAAAAAGCTTACCTTGTACGTTTTTCTGATAACGATACAACTTCTGTTAAATAATCAAATAATTCACCTCTTTTACATCTAAAATATATAAAATCACAGATTATTTTTATGTGGTAAATAATTCATATTTCAAATTATAGTATGAAACTTGCGTCTAATAATAGGACGGATTGGGTACATACATATACATATAGGGTAGGAATCCAATATTCGACAATATTAACATAGAATACAATCACATTCAATAAATGGAATAAAATCATGGCATGAATCAGTCTAGACATCTCAATATACACGCCCAAGGAACTGGGGTTGATAGCCAATTATATTCAAGGTCCATTGCAGTAAAATAGTAAGACACATATATATGGCATTAAATGAAAAGTGTAGACTTTTTTTTTTATAAAATGTCTTTTTGTATGATTATATCATGATTATTCGGATTTGAAAAACCATTTTAATTTCACACCCCTTAATTTTTGACATATTTAACAAGAGTTTCACCTTTACTAAATTTACCTATGTTTTTTAAAAATTACCCAGCATTTGCCAAGAAGTAAAACATGAAATTATCCTGATTTTGAGTTATTTGTAAACAGTGTTGTAAATATATAACAAAGAGTGGATCCAGCCTTGGATGTCTAGCCAGTTTCTTCATTCTCATATTCACAAAAACAGTTTATATATATACTCCATGTCAAGCCATGTGCTTATTGTCTTATGCATGTATATCTAGTGTATAAGAGTAAAACTAAGACTCAGTAAGACATTAAATATGGGTCACCTAATTTTAACCAATCAAATTCAAGTACAATGTACTGCTATTATACCTTAATACCTAATACAACAATGGTACCATAATTAGGGTGATGGGGGGTGGGGGGATCAGACTAAACTAGCTGATACCTGCTGAAAAGAAATCACCATGACCTTATGTCATTTATGACCTAACAATACAAGGTCAAATATAAATGTAAAAGGTCAATCGATATTGCCATGGGCTATAAAAGATCTTAGCCAGAGCATGTCAAAAATCAATCAGATTGCTTTGGAAGAAGCTCAGCTAGAAAATTGTGTATCTAAAATAAACTAAGTCTAGACAACTAGTACATCATGTATGTGATAGAACAAAGCTAGGCTTTTAAAACCTAGTCTAAAATAAAGATATATTGCATCAAAATGCCAAAGGGAATTACATAAATCACAATGTCCACCAATATCTATATTCTCTTAATGGAATACAATAATCTATTACTGAGCAATATTCTCTATAAGTATTAAACAGTACCCGGTAATTGTATTCCATAAAATAAAGTTTAACAGCCTTTATGATGTGTTGTGCAGTCCTCCTGCACTTACTATTTTCAACTAGTAATTGCAGGAGGACCACACCATACATAAACAATTATACAAGAAAAACGCACAGACAGGACACAGTATACAGACATTTCAAATAATAAACAACTAATATCAGATCAAGTGAAGGAATCGAGGAGGAGCGGCTAACCGTAAATGTCCACTGCATTGTAGAAAACCACCCCTATAGTTATTCTCTATTTGTTTTTAACCGTTAATGTCTTTTGGTATGAATGAACCAAAAGAAAAGAAGATTTAATCACTGACCGATATTTCTATCAAGGACTTTTAAGTGCGAGTTACCTTAGTGTACATATGAACAGGAAATTTCAACAAGACAAAATAAATAATACATTTTTAAAACTAATCCTGACTTCATTCCAAACCAAAATATATAAATAAACATGGTGTGATTGACAAGGTCATATTAAATGGTTTCTATTTTCATATTTAACCCATTTTTAATGACCTGTATTTTAACGTAAAACTAAAATCATTCAATACTAAAGAACTTGGTCTTCAGTTTATTTTTAAACAACATTTAAAATCTATGCAAATGGGTCTATCAATCTGCGAACATTGACCTTTTTTTTCATTTAAAAATAAACTAGGTATTATACATGTATCTGGAACATTTAAAACCTATGCAAATGGGTCCATCAATCTGCGAACATTGACCTTTTTTCTTTATTTAAAATTAAACTAGGTAATATACATGTATCTGGAATTGAATAGAATCTGACTTGATGTGGATCCAAGGTAATGAATGAATGAAATGTGATTTTATGGCACGTCAGCACACCAAGCTATATTGAGCTAAATGGATCAAAGGTGGCTCAGTGAGTAAGGCACTGGCACACTAACCAGGTGGCCCGGGTTTGACCCCAGAATTTTCAAGAGCGGTTTCTCATTCATTGTCAGTGATGTAGGACGTGGGTCTGGCTAGCAAGTGTCTAGTCATGCGGATGGGCCAAAAACCCAAGGTCCTGTGTACAAATTGGCAGGATCTAGGACAATTCATCCCTGGCCATTTCGTCCCAGGACTATTAGTCTCCTAGGACTATTCGTCTCCTATGGCTATTCGTTCCAAGACACCTCATCCCCAAGAACAATTCGTCCCAGGACAATTCGTCTCATGACTATTTGTTCCCTTGTACAATTCATCCCCTAGGAGAACTTGTCCCCGGAGAACAATAATGGTAGTTCCATTATCAAAAACTGAATCAATATTTACTTTTTATCCTAAATCTCAGTTTTGATGCTAGTTTTACATCGTTTTACGTTTAGTATTAAATCTCGACTTTAACTTAATGGTTCCTGAAGTAATAATTGATAATTAATATGTTTAAATGGTTTCTCAATGTGGATTTGATTGATCTATGAAGGAAAATTGAAAGGATTGGGGTTTGATAGAATGCATGCACCTCCCCACGTCCACCAAAGGGTCTCATAATTGGCAGAAAAATAGTAGTCCTCATAGGCAGGAAGAGGTGTAACTACTAATTCCTTCCTTCATTTTTTTTAACAACCTGGGTACGAATAGTCCTAGGGGACGAATAAACCCAGGGGATGAATTGTCCTCGGGGGCTAATTATCCGGGGTCGAATAATCCTAGGGAATGAATAGTCCTAAGGAACGAATTATTCAGGGACAAATTGTCCTGTACCCCTAAATAAGAACCCTTGACAATTTGAATTTGAAATAAGAGTAGGCCTTAATGCTGCTGTCCGGGTCAATTATCCCAGTCGGTGCAGAACAATAATAGTTACTTAACCTTATTTCATTTCAGACTTGATGTCTCCTCAACGTAAATCTTCAGTCATCCCTTTAAGACAAACACGGTAATTTTTGCAAGGGAGAAGAATTTTGACCAAATTGAGACTTTGACGACTACTCTTTATCAATTTCCATGTCCAGCTTTCTTTTTCATAGCTTCCAAAACGACAAGGCTACTCCTAACAAGTGAAGGCCAGACTCAAACTCAAAATTTTCTATTTATGATGGGGTAATGGCAATGGGTAATGGTAATGGTCATGTAATGAGTAATAATATAATATGTTTCATTCATGTATTTTAATTTTAAAGATATATAAATGAACCAATTTTAAGGTGGGTTGTAAGGTTTTGAGTTAATGCATGAATGGAGCTAACGAATTCATACATTCACAAACTGTTATATTAACAAAGTCATGTATGTGTACATGTATAAACTGATTTATGTACAAACTGAAACCAATGGAAGTGTAAGTAGAAGTAATACAAAAAGCCTGCTATTTACGAACACATCACATAAAAATAGTCCAAACAGCCTCACTTTAAAAGTTAAGAAAATAAAAAATTTGAATTCTTCAACATCCACCCACTTGATATAGATGATTGAAATGATATAATATAATGTATGTTTTTATACACGAATGAATGAAATTCTTTATCCTCATTTACATGTTGTTTATATCTTTGAAAATATTACTGTAAACATGTTTTATTTATAAATAGAGACAGATCAAGTTGTCTGATTTTAAGAAATTATAATAAAATATGTTCTTTCAGATTGTTGAAATTTATGTTTTACGGCATGTTTACTGCATAATATATTATTTAATTCATTATTCATACAACATTTGCAAAAGATGCAAAAAATTACCCTAGTAACTTTTTAAAAAATTAGGCCATATAGAAAATAATGTTCTGGTTCTAAGACAAGGCTGTATCACTTACATGTAGATACAACCTCATAAACTCTGTTGACATTACCATTTTAAAGCATGTCAGGAACAGTATAATCTGTTTTAAAGGTTAGACTGAAAGATGCCAATCTTAGTCTTAATGGTACCGTATGGTTAATAAAATCACAAATTAATTGAACATAATTTTCTAAATTTATTGACAATACTAACAATCTAAATATTATTGTGACATAGACTGACTATCTCTGACAAAATAAAAAATACAAAAAAATAACACCTCCCTCCCTCCTTCCTGTACCAAGATATTTTAGAAGGATTGTCTGATAACCAGGATATTTTTTCTGTAGGCTTTACTACTTGATAAGTTAAATACTATTAATCAATGTTACCCAATAGATAATTTATTTAACATTACTTAATCCAGTGTTACTCAGAAGATTCTTGTTGAATTCAGACCAAACGAATCCAATTTTTAGTTTATTGAAGTTACGATAAATAAATAATCACTTGTGTCTTATGAACTAGTTTTTGTTTAAAACTAAGATCATTTCCACCCAAGAAATAAAAGCCTTAAAGGCAAAATTTAAATAAACAGGTTTTTCTGAAAAATAAAACTTCAAATTGGAGTGGCCTTACAAACGAGCACATTTGTAAAGAATATTTAATGGCCTTCAATAGATTATAATATAAGACATATTATATAACATTCTATTTTTATCCTGATCATTGTAATCCTGATAAATAGCTTTCTGTTTTTTGCTTTTATTTTGTCAAAGCATCACTACTAGCTAAATAAATATCACGTTTTAAGAGAGTGAGAGAGAAATGGGGTTCAACGTCCACTTGACACAAACTAGGTCATTTCGGGAATAACATATGCTTCAATTTTGTTTCATTAATTTGCTTGCACTTAGGGATCTTTAGCAGTGGGAGGAAACTGGAGGACCCGGAGAAAACCCACGAGGTTGGACAGGCGACCCTACTCCTTGTCACATAAAAGTGGGAAATCGAAACCCTGACACTTGCACGCGTTAACCATTCCACCCTCCCCCCATCACATTTTTTCAAGGCAGTAAATTCATCTCATAATTTTATTTATAGGAATATATGATTATCCAGTATTATTTATGATGTCAAAAACATTTATCAGGGTTGTGTTTTTGATAAATGAGTCTACGGTACATTTATGATATCAATTGAAACACTTCCTTTCAGGGTAAATAAATGTATGTGGTATTCAATGAGACTGTCATTATTTCATATACTCTTAAGTGACCCTTAATGAAGCCCTTTTTATGTGTCAAAGGAGTATTAGAAGATTTTATTTTTTTGTATACTGGGTATGATCCAAAATTTTGACCGAATAAAATAATAATATTAAACTTACAATTCAAACACTAAGAATATAAATGTAGGCGTTTCAAACCAGTCATGAAGCTCAACTGAAAATAAAAATACAGAATAATTAAAGGCACAATATTCCTGACCAAAGACAAATATAGACTGTCAGATCATACACAATATCAAATATATATAATAGACTTTCAGGTCATTCACAATATCAATTATAGACTTTCATAACATACAATATTGACTTTCAGATCATACACCATATCAATTATAGACTTTCAGATCATACACAATATCAAATATAAACTTTCAAACCATACACAATATCAAATATAGACTTTCAGATCATACACAATATCAAATATAAATTTCAGACCATACACAATATCAAATATAGACTTTCAGACTACACACATTATCATAACATAAAACTTAAAGATACATTATGGGAGATAAGATAAAGAGATGGCAGTTCTCGCTATAATAGTTAAAAACTAGATAGTGTAAAGGTAATTTGCTGGAAATTTCAGTCAAATTCATCCACTATGAGCCGAGAAAGAAGCGGGCGATATTTTTGCATGGTCTCGGTCATCATTACTAAAATTGTTAATATAAACAGCACAGTCTCGATTATCCACTTTTTCTGGTTTAATTATCAGTGGCCGTTAGCGCCATATAGGAATCTAATCCAGCCAACATCGAAGGCTAGCCTTGACATCGAGAGTTTATTATGGTCTGGATAAGTTAATTAATGTCTAATTGATAATTTAGATAACATTTTAGGCCTAAAGAAAGACTTGTAATAAGCAGATTTTGCTCTTGCATAATGCATGTTTAAAGAGGATATACATAAAACTTTTAGTTCAAAACCCTTCAAATGGATCAATCCTTACAGAATTTGTGTCTTTCTACAGTTCCCATAACACTAGTATCAACAGGATATATTTTAAAAAATAACCAATGATATTATATTCTGTTGTTGTTAAGTACATACATGTACCAGGGAAGGGCATTAAAAATATCATATCTCATAAACATTGTTTGAATAACTTACAGTGGGAGAACAATGAAACAGCAGCTAAGTCGTCAAGAGCAGTCAGTCAACGAGGGTTGTTACATATTTTTTTTTTTTAACTAATGAGAACATTTACAACAGAATAAATTCTGATTAAGAGTAACAACCCATTATCATAAATAATTAGAATTTGTTTGGCTTCTATTAGTTCTGGCCTATGCTAACGTTCAGTATATATACAAAACATAATCATGAATTTAGCGGTTCTATTTATCAGAAATCGTTGAAAATCAAGCACAATAACTCAGGCAATATTTATCAGAAATCATTAGAAATCAATAGGCATTGTTGTCTCATGCCCTTAAACACTATGTATGAATTTAAAGTCAATGGGATGATGTTGGGGTATAAAAAACATGTCATTTTAGGACTAAATGTAGTACAATTTTATTTCAATACTTATAACAGTGGAAGGAAACTAGAGAGACACAGAGAAAAACCCATGAGACTTAAATTTCGGAATACAACAGTCTAAAAGACATATTCCATTGTTTTTACATGTATGTCGTGATTAGTACAAAATAAATGACTAAAAAATAACTAATAAATACTAACTTATATGATCATGACCAGCACACATTCGTAATATATTAATTTCTCTGTATGTATCTTTCTTTGTTTGTTCTACTTGATATGTTTCACCCTTTTCTCCACTGATATCTATAATTTTTACAGCATATTCTTTACCCGATTTCTTCTCAAAACATCTTCTTACAGTACTACTCACACCTCTGTAATATACCAAACACAATTATTTACATCTCTATAAACATGCGTTTTTTTAAAAGAAAAAAGATTCCGATTAAATAAACCTATGTATTTCCTGGTTCCACTCTAGACAACTATTCAGCTTCTTTGATTGGCATTTAGTAATTGAACATATTAACACAAGGTACAATTTCATGGATACACAATTACTGAGTTTAATACTAAGCGACGCTTCGACGAGGATACTCTCGTCTTTATCAAGCAAATGAGTATCCTTGTTGAAACACCGCTTAGTATTAAACTCAGTAATTGCGTATCCATAAAATTGTACCTTGTGTTAACTATTCAGCTCAATAAAAAACAAACTACCGGTACCACTACCTTTTATTCCTTTACAAAAATTAGATCTACATATATAATATACATCTTTATAAAGTGACATTTAGTGATTGAGAAACACATTAAAAAGAATACAATTTTTATGGGAAACAACTTGTTTTATTCTGAAAGTAAAAGTAAAAGGACAACATTTTCGACAAGTATCCTCTTTTCGTTATCACCATGAAGATCAAATACATGTACATGTATACACTGTACTCAGAGACCTCAAATTTACTTATTACGTCATTCTGTTTGTTAACGATAAGAGAATATGTCCTGCTTTTAGAATAAAACCAGTGATTGTTTCCCCCCAAAATTAGTATTCTTTTAATATATTACTAACTTCAGATTTTCTTGGAACTCATTAAAGAATGGAAATATTTACATCTGTAAACGTATACCTATTTTTAAGACAAGTACAGTTTGTCAGTCTCACTATCCTGGCAACTGACATTTCTAATTCAAAACAAAACTATAGTCATACTATAGTACACAAATGTTACTGTTATGTTACTACTACCACTACTAACTGTTGAATGATGAAAGCAAGGTACAAAGTCCACACAACTGTATAGTGCAGCCAGGTGTATACTTATTATAGAGAAAACAACAATCCAATAATCCTTAAATACAACCCGACAATACATGTACCATCATTTATACATGTACTAACCCTTGTATATTGACACAACTTTTTTTAAACTTAACAAATAAAAGTGTTAACAACCTTTTAGCATGCATCAATGAATAAATAATGATTTTGATTTAATCAACCATATGTCTATCATACAAAAAAAACAAAAAAACTGTGAAAAAGGAGGTTGCTTAGAAATAAAAGATTTCTTCTTATATCCATTGTGTATTGGGGAAGTCTGTTCCTATAGTAAAGATATATTTTTGTTCAATGATTGGCCCAAATAAATTTATAGCCCTGGGGTACAGAAATTCTGATGCCTCTTACACTACTACAGTGTTTATGGATTGACAAAATACAGTAACAATTTGAAATAATTATGAACTTTGGACTGCAGTAAGGTTGTAGAAAACAAGGAAGAAAGATTCTTAGGAGTGATTACAGCATCTGTAGTCTATCCAATCTATAATTAACATTATAACCTAGTTAATAATCAACTTTATACACTGTGTATCAGTGTGTTCAAAATAGGATTTCCAGTCAAGCCAAATTTTGTGTTAATTTCGGAATTTCCTAGTACTATATTTAAAGCTGACGATCCTCAATTGACGGATTCTTTATCCTTAAAGGAGTTAAATCGCTAACATTTGGGACCTAGAAATTGACACAAATAGGTCACAACGCATATTATAATAATGTAATATGAATGTATATAAACTGATTTACATTCAATCGTTTCTGTTTTTACTCAAATTTCAAACTTTCAAACACGCCAGAAGTCTCAATCGAATGACAATCTCCAGCGTCTGGTTACCAATGGTAAAATGTTTATTTTGTCTTGAATATTGGATATCAGAAGCCCATCTTTTCCCGGTAAGATCACAACATCAATGTTGATTTAAATTGACAAATAATTTGAGTTTTCAATGTTGAAGACTTTGGATGATATTGAGTTAGAGACCTAGCTACTTTAAAATAACAATATTTTGAATGAAATGTCAATCCAAAAATAAATTCAATACCGATATAAATTAAACAAACCAGCAGCACCTACAGCAAGATTATTTGAGTTGACATTTCATTTTGATTTTGTTTTCTTAAAGATACATTAATTAAGATTTAGATAAAGAGTTGGTCGTTCTTGCTATACTAGTTCCAAAAAAAAGATAATGAAAATTGAATATACATGTATATACATATTTTAAATTTCTGACTCTCTCTGAGAGTCTAAGTGAAGTTGGTACTCAGGGAGTACGACATTGGCTCGCTAACCCCGAGGTCCCATGATCGATCCCTGCGTTGGCTGAGAAAGTTCATTGTGATTTTCCGACGTGGTTCCCCCTCGTCAGTAGTGCAGGACAGAAGGTCTAGCAACATATATACGTAAAGTTGTTCGGAAGGGATGATAACTGATATCCAGTGTACACATTGGCGTGCACGTAAAAGATTCCTTTGCAGTTGGAATTCGATATTATAGTAGGCAGTCGGGCCGCTGTCAGAGCAAAATTTCCCTCAAAGCACACTGGTGTATGTCAGTCTTCATTAGCCCCGTTGGAGCAGGACAGTAGGACATTAAACTCCATTTCCCCTCTGAGTTATCAGTGTTTGAAAGTTTGACAAGATATAGCATACCTTACATGTAGATTGTTTATTATCATATAGCAATGTTTTTTTACCGGTAATTAAATGGCGAAGGTTTTTCAATCCATTTAAATATGATAGTCTAGAGAATTCATTATAGGCTTGTCATAGTAAATGTAAAATCAATATATAATATTTGAAGCCAAAATAAAGTCCTGCAATAGGAAGATTTAACACTTACAAAATGCATCTTTAACTAAATGTTAAACAATAAGAATTAAGCTTATTAGATATTGTCCAAAAAATGATGATCATGTAGCTTTGTATATTTAACTTTTAACTGAACATAAAGCATTATAAAATGAAAGTAAAAGTGGAAATATTTCTGATAAAGATAAGATATTATTAATGGTTTCAGTTGAATTGACAGATAAATATCTTGTGTTACATCTACATGTATGATTGATGACTGTCAGGTTTATAACCTTCTTAATGACACACCCACGGTGAGAATTTCAAAGTCAATTCTTATATAATCTCCCTAATCTCTAAGCTATAAATATACAAAATATGTGTTTGTTATAACCAGAGGCTGTACTAGCATGACCCTAGACATAATATTGTTTATATGACTATGTTGTATACATGTATAGTCATTATTTTATTCTGTTTAAAGTACTACTTGCTAACTGGGAGGTCTCAATGTTGGTCAAGAAAGTTCCTCAGGATTTTCCGGTGTGATCCCTTGTCAGTGGTGCAGATCGGAGGACGTGGAAAGGAACAGCGTCCAGACGAGAGAGAGAGAGAGAGAGAGAGTTTAACATCCACTTGACTAAAACTAGGTCATTTTATTTCAATATAATTCACTTGCGCGCGTAGGTGTCTTTAGCAGTGGGAGAAAACTGGAGAAAACCCACGTGGTTGGTGACAGGCGACCCAACTCCTTGTCACGTACAACCTGGTAATCGAAACCACGCCAGTTGACTCAATGACAGACCTTATGATACAGCGTGCACGTGTTAACCACTCTGCATGCATGGCTTATGCCTGTCTTCATTAGCCAGGATGATAAACCCAATTTCATTTATAAATATGCATATACCCCTTTACTCTCCTACACAATATTTGTCACAATATGTACAACTATCCAAGGACACACATAAAAATTAAAAATATAACCAGAAATTCTGTGTCATGTTTACACTAGGTCAAACCATAAAAAAAATTCCAAATTAAAGAGATCTAAAGAAAACTAATTAATTAAATCAAAATGTCCTAATTCAAACAAATTAATCAAGATGGCTAGTCATGTAGTGAGGAATTTAATGATTAATATATTATATCAATGATGTCTATTTCTTTCAGACAATCATGTATGTACATGTACATGAATTGTAGTAATTTTAAGCAAAATAACAAACTTCAATATTAAAATGTTTTTAACAAAAAGTTATATTAATAATATATTATATACGGGTATACAGAATTCCAGATATACGCGACTTTGTTTTATCATTCTGTCTTTAGATGTAGTATTATTGGAATATCTAGGCTAGTAGTATAGACTACGGCTACACATAGTTTATCAAATCTCAAACACTATAACCTGATTCTGACATTTCAACACAAGAAGAAAATCATTAGAAATGTCTGCCTATTCAGACAACATAACTTACTTTCCTAGGATATCCTTTAAAACAAATTTTCCATTCATAGAAGTGTTAAATTCTGCATAATACTTCTCAATCATTATGTAGGGCTATCCATTTATGAAGTCTGTGAGGGTGGTAGTCACATGTTTGACCTCAGCTTCAAACATGACCTCAATAATAAGACACTTTAAGCATGAAGGAATATATAATGATGACATCACACAATATAAGCCTGCTGATTGGATATTTGAAGTTGTAGGGAATAAGAAACTGGGTGTAACTGTCTGTTCTAATTCACATGGAAACACACCCTCTGTTCACATAAGTGAGTAATCCATTGGATTAAATTAATCAACGGATTTAATACCGGAAAATAGAGAGGGCTGACTCAGTCATGGTTACAACTTATTTACAACTACAACAAACATGATTATAGCCCTTAGATTAAATACTAAAAGATTTACTCATTCAAGGAGAAGGGGTGATAATTAGTGTTAATCTTGTACAAGGTTTAATTATCAATTGACAAGTTATGGTATATCTATGTAATTAGAAAGCAATAAATAAATGAATTAGTTTGGTCAATAAGTAATTAGGCTGTGTAGAGGTCAAAACAGTAAATAAAATCAGATTATATGCATGGAGGTAATTAAATGAGGTACATGGAGGGGGGGGCAAAGACGACCTCCACCCCATCAGTGGCCTGGCGACCCGATGATCTCGAGGAGGGTGCACAGTATAATTTGTCTTCGTTAATGCTTTGGGATTGTTCCAGAGGATCTCCCTGTCAAGATCCATTCAGGTCCAGTCACAAACAAACAGGAAATAGGACTTCAAAAGAAGAAGAGAAGAGAAAAAGAGGAGAGAAAAACGAGTGAACACTATAGTGACACTTTTGTAGAAATCCAGAGTAAAAATCGTTATTTGAAATAAAAAAAAAATCAATTTATTTCTATATAAATAAAAGATACAACAGATGTTCTGTATGTGTTTACATGCTTATATATACATACAGAAGGTTTGTTTGACTTAGCTTGATGTAAATGTACATAACTGACACCATGGCCTATAAACCGAATTCTATCTTAGTACACTACCCTGTAGTGGTGTGTGATATACAGCAAATCTAATGTCATTTCAATCAATATCTAACCTCAACAAAATGCTAATACACAGTCACATGGTGAATACTTTATGGACTAGATCAGTAATATTAGAACCAGCAGCTAGTGGGATATTATTTTCAATGTAATAATATCTTGGACATTATTCTCAATTACATAATGGGTTTGGACACCAGCCAAAGTAGCAACTTATAAATGTACACACTGGTGATAGGAATAATGACCTTGCTAGGCATTACACTCTAGTCAAGGTTACTGAACGACTTTTACCAGACCCAACAGAACACAGGAATGCTCTGTGTATATGATTTTCAAAGGAGATTCCATTAGCTTATTCAAGCATTTTGTTTATAACATTTAATAGTAAAGGATCAGATGTATATGGTCTAGATATAGAAACAAGGAGGGCTGTTCTATAGATCATGAAACCAGTACATTTGTATTTTCATCACCTAGTCTACTAGTACTACCATATATATACAGATTTAATAGGAGAGAGAGAGAGAGAGAGAGAGAGAGAGAGAGTTTAACATCCACTTGACACAAACTAGGTCATTTTATATTTCAATATAATTCACTAGGTCATTTTGACACAAACTAGGTCATTTCGGGACTAACATATGGTTCAATTTTATTTCAACAATTCGTTTGCGCATAGGGGTCTTTAGCAGTGGGAAGAAACCGGAGGACCCAGAAAAAACCCACGAAGTTGGACAGGCGACCCTACTCCTTGTCTCGTACAACCAGGGAATCAATGACAGACCTTATGATACAGCGCGCATGTGCTAACCATTCGGCCATCCAACCCCCCTAATATCTACATGTAATAAACTATAACACATATTTATGGAAGAACCATTACTGATTTATTCAACTGCCCAACACATTTGTTACTGAACTTGCTTGAAAATATTGAGAGAATACTGTTCAAAATGTCCCCTAAATAAATAAGTAATTGTTCTTCCATAAATAAGTATGTGTTATAGTTTATTGCTCTATCCAATTACTAAATGCCCCTAAAAGATTATTTAATATGTTTACATACACTCAGTGTCTCAGTGACATACAGGCAATGTATGGGGAAATGGGAGGGTGCAGAGCCAAGACGCCTCCAAAATATTTAAGAGACCTAACATTCAGGCAAAGGCGGTCACAAAAAATTTTGCTATCATTGCAGTTCTGTTAAAACACTTTTTGAACATTAGGTGTCAAAGTCATGATATTAGAATCTTCCAGAATAATCTAATAGTACTACCAAGAATCTCACTGATCAATATTTGTTTTCTTCGTAAAAATTGTGATAGTCACTTTTTGATACATTTGCATTTAGTATAAATTAGTGGTCTAGTGATATTCGGGCACCTAAAAATGCCCCAAGAATCAACCATCACCTAAATCAAACAATTTCCATGCACCAATGCCCACATTTGAAATTTTATAGGAATAAACCCACCGACAACCTACATTTATAAAGTGTGGAAATGAGCCAAGAAATTTTACAACCATTTTTTTTTTTTTCATACTTTGAGGTCAAGGTAAAAAAAAAAAAAAATAGCATTTGACTTACTTTCCCAATATTTCCCTAGGTTCATACTTGGCATAGAATTCCTTTGCTTGGATTCTTGATGGTAGATCACCATCCACACTGTCCTCTATTAATTTATCTTGGGTCATTTTGAACACAACCATGAATACACTTCCACTATTAAAGGTACAAAACACTATACTGATGAAAGAATCTGGACTATTCCAATCTGTCCTCTATACTAGGCTGTTTGTCACGGGAATACATTCTGTCTTACACTAAAATAGAAAGAAAATAAATCTATATTCTCAACCTTTCATAATCCACAAATCCAACCGTATGATTTATTATAAACAAGAGCTTTAAAACCAAATGTCAAAGATGATGCAATGTTTCTATTAGACCAGTTCCAATAATATAATACGCAGAAATAGATTCAGTGTTTATAGACATTGAACCATATATTGTTTACAATCTATCCTTGATATTGATAGAACATAAGAAAAAAAAATCTGTTCCTATTATTGAGTATATTACATGTATAAATAGTGTGATCTACTGTCCCCTCATAACTTGACTATGTAAAGTTCATTGTATTACTTGATATACTATCTCTAAAATAGCTCATACATGTATGTGGAGCATACACCTATTATTCTACTGCTTCAGTCTATTGGCACATATACATGCATGGAAGAGATGAACAAGAGAATTTTTTCAAGATCATGATAAGACATTCCAATGTCACCTTATGAGTTGCATAATATCATGCAGTATAATCGTGCATATAACCCAAAGTTATTATTATCATAGTCTCAAATTGCATTAAAATGTAGGGACTTAATCAATGTCTTTTATACTTGAATAACTACACCTGAACCCTGGTATTCTATTATCATTTCGCTGCACAGAGGGCAAGGAACTTGTTACATCGATTATCTCATTACTGGTATATGTGCCAACAGAAATGCATTATATAGTATTTATTGTAGGCTGACAGAGATACAGAACACTATAAACTGGGTGCATAAATTACTTCACTTGATCCATACACTCACCGTATACCTATCTAAGAGTGCTGTTGTATGAAAAACTGCAGAGTCACCTGTGACTCATATAACCTAACCACAAGATCCAAATTTCAGCCAATGTTTACTTTTTAATTTCAAAAGTAACTTGACATTTTCTTTTTAATTTCAACCCTAACTTCTATTCATATATTTCATGCCCTTTTTTTAGTCCCAACTTGCTTTTGTCTACTTGTGAATTTTTGATTTACCATGTATTTTTTGAAGGAGTTTTGTCCTAGCTTGTTTAATGTAGGCCCACACAGAGTAAAATGTATGGTGACATGCACACCTATTTGAATATAGTGCTAGTGGTTTATCACTGATCAGATATGTTCAATCTATTTTACTTTCTCAAAGGTATTCGGTTGTCATAAAATGCATCGAGGAATAAATGATACAGCAAAGAAAGACAAAAATATGAGGTGGGAGTGAGGGGGGTGATGTAACCATTCCTATTTCAACATATAGTTCTCAGTGCAAAGGGACGACTTGTCACAAGCCTTACTGCTAGCCTAGGTCTACTAGAATGACAGGCCTTTACATCTGTAGTCTGTTTTCCCAATAATGGATTGATGGTGACCCAATTGTCATGCAATCTGTCATATTGACATTCCTTATGTTAATAACTTGTCATTTTTTCTGTGTAGTGAGTTGTCAAGGTCCCATTGTGAAATACAGTGAACACAACGATTTTAAAACTTTCCACAATGAAATGGCTGATTTTGCAAACATTATTTTCAGAACACAATTGGTTAATGCTTTCCTTGTGCTGTATGTGTGTTACGAGCTGCACAGACAGCTTTCATTGACGTTCATGTATGGCAGACAGAATATATGTCAAAATTTCATTTCACTCTCGCAAATATATACATAATACATTTCTCTTGGGCTCATTCAGGTGTTTCGATAATTTGTTCTGTGTATAGTTATGTTTCATCAGGTTTTTTTCTTAACTTTGCATTTTTGATTGGATTCGCTGGTGTGTTTTAGTCATTTACCAACAAAGATTAGTTTCATCTACTTTTTATGATTTTTTACACTACATTTTGATTTAATCAGGATAGTACACACACGACGTACAACACAAGATAGGTTGCCTGGAAATAAAACATGTGCCGACAGCAACCCTATCACAATATGTAGGAAGCTTAAAAAAAAAACATTATTAATTTGTAATTTAATAAAATAATCTAACCGTTAAGACTCTATCGAATCGACATGGTAATCTGTTTCTAAAACATTGTTATTCAGCCTTTAAGGTAATGATCTGAAAAGCTTTTTTCTTATAATACCGATGTCACTTTTTCTTCAATGTAAAGATTTTTACTGTAATTATAATCAATCTACACATTAACTATGAGATATGAATTCTGTTTATTCATTTAGTTTTTTTTTCAAATATCATCTAACATTTACATATTTATATGGAAATAAATGACATTAGTTATCAAGTTCTTAGTAGTGTTAGAGTATACTAGATATTAGAAGATAGGTTGCCAGGCAACGAAACATACGCCCACAGCAGCTAAATCGTCCAGGCAGTCAACAAGTGTTGTCGCATGTTTTTTACTTATTTGGGTAACGAAACATTTATAATACACTAAAATCTGATTAAGAGGAACAACTCATGAAGTAATTATCAATCTGAAGTCAATCGGATGATAACTTTAGCCTCTAGCGCAGCGATTTTTCAAAGTGATCAAGGGCCATAACTTTGGCAGTAATTATTGGAAATCGTTCAAAATCAATAGGATTCTTTGTCTTATGACCGTAAACACTGTGTATAAATTTAAAGTCAATCGGATATTAACTTTAGCCTCAAGAGCATCCACAAGATTTTTTGAAGTGATCAAGGGCACTGATTATCGGAAATTGCTGAAAATCAATACGCTTCTTCGCCTTATGACCGTAAACACTGCGTATAAATTTAAAGTCAATCAGATATCAACTTTGGTCTCTAGAGTGCCTACAAGATTTTTTGAAGTGATCAAGGGCCATAACTCTGGAAGGGATTATTGAAAATGGTTGAAAATGAATAGACATTTTCGTCTTATGACCTTAAACACTGTGTATAAATTGAAAGTCAATCGGATATTAACTTTGACTTCTAGAGCGTCCACAAGATTTTTTGAGGTGATTAAGGGCCATAACTCTGGCAGTAATTATCGGAAATCGCTGAAAATCAATAGGCTTCCTCGTCTCATGACCTTAAACACTGTGTATAAATTTAAAGTCAATCGGATATTAGCTTTAGCCTCTAGAACGGGGGCGACGACAATATACGACCACATTTCAATGTGGGCTTATAAAAATGAAATGAAATGGAGTTTAACGTCCTACTGTGACTGGGCTAATGAAGGCGGACATACGCCATACAGTGTGCTATGAGGGAAATTTGGCTTGGAAAGTGGCACTACAGCCTACTCTTATATCAAATTCCAACTGCCAAGGAATCTTTAACATGCACGCCAATGTGTACCCAGGACCTCAGTTTTCCATCCTATCCAAACAACTGGACAGCTGTCCTTGTAAAGCCCTTCGCCGTGCATCACTGACCAGGGGAAATCACGCCGGAAAATCCTGATGAACTTCCTTGGCCAACACTGGGAGCGAACATGCGACCTCCAGGTTAGCGAACCACTTACCCACTGTGGCTCCCTACATGTAATGCATTCACTGTGTAAATGTAATGTACATGTACGTATATTCTTAAACTTTTAATTCAAAATAAAGTATTCAGAAAAATAGGAGATATTTACAGCTTCAATTATTTTTCCAACTGTTGATAAAATTAGAGGTTTCAGACAACACTAGTGTTACTGGAGAAACATATTTCAACATGGCTTCCATTTATCCTGCTTGATCGATAACTTGATGACATACAATACAAGGATAAAATTTGTAAGGCTTTTCAACCAGAATAATGATATTAGGTGAAAAAATAGCAAAACTTTACATCTTACTGAACATGATATGTGTTAGCCATTAGGGACTGTAACTAGTAGGAGTACCCATGATGAAAAATGGGAAAACTTCCATGAGCTGAGATTAGGAATATCAAGCCTAAATCCCCAAAATATAATTATTATAACAATTATAAATAAAATTACAACAATCCAGAATAAGACATGATTTTAATGCATGTTAATATGTCTGGTAGCATGATTTACCCAAATCCACCAATATTTCAACGTATATAATAATAATTTATATCTATATTTGATAATATTATACTGTTCTTTATTCCAAATTGTCATTTTAATTTAAAATCATAATGTTTCTGTTTCAAAAATGCAATTTCGTGCAATACACGAGTTATGTCCCTTGGTTACAACTTCAAAACTTGCTTGGTAATTCGCATTTTGAGGGGCATTTTTGACACAAAAATGCTACGATTTTCAATTAAAAATAGCATAAAAAACGGTATATTAATTATTATCAAATATCGATTATTGTGATATGATTAAAATAATGGTGCATTTGGTTACAACTTCCAAACTTGCTTGGAAATCACATTTTTAGGGGCATTTCGACACAAAAATGTTACGATTGTAAACAATCTGATTAAAACACAGATCTTATTTTGTTTCGTTTTTTATAGTTCAAAATTTCATTTTACTTGTCTTTACTATATGAGGATCTGGAAGAGTTGTTATAACTCGCGTTCTGGATGATGTGAGGGATTAACCAATGAAACGATCTGTTACAGAGCGTTTTTGGCATGAGGTGCACATGCTGATTGGTTAATCAAATATCTGATGTCACTTGTATGACCTCCTGACGCGACCTTTCACTACAACTGGTCAGATCTTCATCCAGTAGAGGCCAAAAAAAGTATAAAAAAAAAACGAAATGAAATATAGATCTGGGCCCTTATTCACGAAAACTTAAACTAAGTTACAACCGAAATTTTAAGAAATACTGCAACTTCATTGGATATATGCAAATTGATTTTACTGGTCAGCCAATCGAATTGCAGTATTTCTTAAAATTTTGATTGTATCTTAGTTTAAGTTTTCGTGAATAAGGGCCCTGTATTTTAATCAGATTGGATTATAAATCAAAAATGAGCAGAAAGAACGGTATTATCAAATATCGATATACATTATTGTTTTTAAGTTGAAATATTAATCATGGATTTGGGTAGATTTGGGTGAATTTGGGTAAATAGTGTTACCCATGTGTAGTAATTATATCATACGGTCACTGTCATAATTATGTACACTGTATATATACCGGTACTGTCTCTAAATGAGATGCTTATTTAGACTAATAAAATCATTATCCTGGACTGGTTGTAATAATAAAGGACAAGGTAAAGTGACAGCATCTTGTTACAAACTAAAATCGATACCAACAAGGCTGAACATATTATTTTAACCCAGAATAGTTTCCCTTGGATACAACAGTCGAAAATAAACTACATTACTGACAATACACTATTTCACTGTCACTACTCCTTTAAATCATACACTCATGTGTTAACATGTAAACAAAAATTTCAATTTCACCACTTTCATCGTCGTTAAATATACATTATGCAAGAGCTAAATCTGCCTATTGCAGGTCTTTCTTTAGGCCTGACATGTTATCTAAATTATTAATGAGACATGAATTAACATATCCAGACCATAATCAACTCTCGATGTCAATGCTAGCCTGTGATATTTACTGGATTAGGCCCTATTAGGATCCCAGTTGCTGTTCAACTTTCATTCATGAATTAATCATGAAATGGATAATCAAGACTATGTTTTTTATCGTACCGACTTTAGAAATGATGATCAATTTGACTGAAATTTTTAGCAAATTCCCTTTACTATCTAGTTTTTAACTAGTATTATAGTGAGAACTGCCAGCTCTTTATCTAATTTCCCATAATGTACTTGTGTATCTTTAATTGCAGATAAAACAATAAAAGTTGAGGACAGCTATTGTCTCTCAATTGATACTCTGATCTATTTTTTTTTTCAATCTTGAAAATGACCCTTCATATCTTTAGATGAGCGATATGAACAATCATTAAAATGGCAACGTTTACTGGAACATTATTTTGATATGTAAAAGGTTTCATTTATACCACCATACACACAATTATGCCGTATTCTGTTAAGTAATAAAACACTTCAGTTTTTATAAACGTAAACATTGTCTTTTATAAAGGTTTCTTTCAAACGCCCTTGACCTTTTTCTTATCAATGAGCAAAGTGTTAATTTTCAATACAACTTTTTTAATTCAAACAACTATGGTATAAAATTAATTCATATACAATTATTATGAGGTGTCATTTACAGGATTTGATAAAAGGTAAATAAAGATGCAGTAAATACTTTTTGACTTATACTATCAAAACTATTAAAACTATTAATAAAACTGGCGGTAAATCGATCTTGATCTTGATTTGTAAGAACTGTGATCTGTCACATCTTAACATTCAATATTATTCATCTGTAAGTTATGGGCAAAAAGTAGAAATTATGAATGGTAGTTATAGGCTTCCATACATGGTGTGCTAAAACAAAGATAATTTTCAAAATCTGAAGTGTTGTTGGTTGTACTTGTAGTGTATATTCTGGAATCTCTGTGATTTCCCCTACAGTACCGGTACGTTTAGTGTTGACTACTGTTGTGTTGTTTACCCTGGCTATAGATGTGCAGTGCTGAATGGTATTGCTTAATATTTTTGATTTTCATCCATCTTTTATTGTTCAGTTTCATCTCAAGGACATTTAGATACCGAAATAAGGGCACTAATGCTGTTGTGAATGTATTTTTAAGGACCCCTCACTCCGGGTGTTGCGACAATTTTTGTCACTTGCCGACTTGGGTGACTTGGTTCGGAAAGGTCAATAACTTATTGAATCAGGGTGAACTGACCCAGTGCAAGTCTAAATGTCTATACACTAGAGGCCTAGTCTCGTTGAACATAAAAAATATTGTATACATACCATATTATAAATGTTAGTCGATTTTCAAATGGCAGTGAAAAGGTTTTGTTTTAGAATTAGAAAATGGAGCTGTAATTGTCAAAGTCAATCGTAAACATCAACGTAAAATTATGAAATTGGCCTCAGATTGGTCTAAAAAAAAACGAAACGAAATTTGTAGGATTAGATGAAAACACTTCTAAATATTAAAAGCTGAATAATTTATAAGCAGCCCATATAAAATAGCCTATTTCTTACATCATATCATATACTTCTGAATTTTAATAGGTCGATATTATTTTTCATCAGTAAAATTAATTTATTTTAATGTTTTGGCGGAACGGGTACAAGGGAAGCAACTCCATTTAACTTAAGTCTGGCCACAAGTACCTTCTCCAGGTTATTGCACGCAAGTAACTATTCAGTTAGATACAGTGACGTTAACTGGAAGAGACCTGATTTTAACATAGAATTAGAAGTGAGACTTCTAGAGTAGAAGTAAAACGTAGACTTTCCGAAGAAAAAAAAAACCGCTATTATATACAGATCCCTGGGTTAAGACTTTAGAGCTCCCCCCACCCACCCCACCCCTCAGTTGCGAGGACTACTGAGCAGTCGAATATTTCATTCCATCTCATTTCCGTTGTATCTATGACAGATTGACTAATTAAAACACGACGTGATAGAATTTTTCTAACATTCTATTGCAGGGGCTAAAGCTCTACAATGGAAGGTCTCAATGTACCAAAGTGAAACTCAACCAAGAACTTTTGATCCTCAACACATAGTTTAATTTTTATCTCATGAATCAGACAAAAATTGTTGGCTCTGAGAGGTCCACAAACTCCATTCATATTTCACATTTTGCGTAAAAGGCATTTGGCATAAATCTAGAACGGAAGGTCCGATGCGCACAAACATTGAACTCGCCCAACATTCGTTTTAAGTTTCATCGAAATTGGATAAAAAAATTGTTACAACCCTGGTTTGACATAGACTACTTTTACACTATTTGCGGGGAGCGGCCATTTGACGGGAAGTTTCGGTCCGATTTTCAGGAAATTCGGACTCAACCACAGTTATGGTGTAACGGTGATATATTTGACTGTAGTTGCGACCACAGTTTACATCCGATGGTCGTCCTGGGTATTATCTGCTTTTACATTATTTGTGTAACGGGGAGCGGCCATTTGAACTCGAGTTTGTACTTAGTCGTAATGGTGTAACTGTGATATATTTAAACGGTTTTTACAATCAATAAAAATTGTGAAGTCTAGGATGCCCACAAGCTAAAATGTGAGTTTTCATACAATCGGGGGTCATAATCCAAGAAGTTACGGTTATAAACATACATTGTAAGTTTCATCAAAATCAGATAAAAACTGTGACATCTAGAGCGTCCACAACCTTGGTAATATTATGTATATATTTGTCCAGTTCAACATCACAGGAAATCACAATCAACTGCAGTGCGTTCGTGGTAAGGGCTTAATAAAAAAAATATATAAACTTCATTGCTGAGTAATTTTACAAGCCAGAAATCGCTTCCACCAGTGCTGGATTAACCATAAGGCAAATAAGGCACGTGCCTTAGGGCCAGCCGAAAATCCAGGCCACAAAATAATAAAGTAAAACTTTTTTGATAATTATCAGGTGGTGACAAAAATGCTTGCCTTTATTTTTATGTAAATAAATTGCATCCTTCTTCATCTACGCGTTGTCCTTAAAAGCTTTCCATACTCTGGCAAAGGGTTGTGTTTCGTCCCTTTACACACGTGAGGTTTGTTTACATTTGTTGTGGGAAAGAATCTCGTAAGTAATTTCATATTTTGTAATAAATTTTCTGTTCCTAAATTTAACTTAATTCCTTTTGTCAATGAGCCCAACATATCTGTATTTTCAGGCCACCTTTCAAAATGTGCCTTAGGGCCAGCAGAGCCTTAATCCGGCACTGGCGGCCCCGCCGCCCCGGGACCCTCGCCTAAAGTCTTAGGACGGTAGCCCCCCCCCCCGCCCCCAATGGCCCCTACCGGTGGTAGAATAAGTACTAAAGTAGGAGGCGGGCTGGGAGGGTGGGGGAGTATTTTGATGAAGTGAATTTGACAGGAACATTAGATGCGGAATACATATTTTGGGCGGCTTATGTGTGTGACGTAGAGGCTATCATACACATTTATGGTTAGTAATTTGATTGGATAATATTAGACTGATTGTAGTGCTTAGCCAATCAAAACTGAAGTATCTACTAAAATTTGGATTTTATCTTTATTTAAAATTTCGTGAAACAGGACCCAGGTACTTTACGTGGTTAGGCTGGCAACACATACCTTGCATAGATAACCAGCCTCATGGTCCACAGCGGAGGGGTACGTTATAGCCTATCACATCCGATAAATAAAGCAATGAATGAATGAACCGGGCTAATGAAGACAAGCATACGCCAAACAGTAGGGGAAGTTTTGCCCGGGCAACAATTTGATCCCAACTATCAAGGGTTCTTCGGCAATAAGCACATTGCACGTCCCATTTGAACAACTAGACGCTATTCCTTCTCAGGCTCCCCGTCCTGCATCGTTAACCTACACAGGGAAGCCACACCGGAAACTCCCTCGGCCAACATCGAGATGGATCCCCGGACCTCCAAGTTAGTGAGCCCAGCTTCGGATTAACCATGGTGGGGGCCCTGGGGCCTGGATCAGGTGGGGGGCCCCTGATCACCAACTGCGGAACTGTGGCCGGTGGCCACCGCGAGCGCCGAAGGCGCGAAGCCCCGCAAGGTGGATCGGGGACCCCCCCACCCCCCGAAAATTTTCAGAAATTGGAGGCCGGAAACGTGATATCCTGGCATTTCAGGCACTTGTGTGGAGCCGTTTAGAGGTACCTCCTCCAGAAAAAAATAAAATTCTGCCACAAAATTAGCGCATTCTGGCGTTATTTCAGTGGATAAATCCATGCGAGTGCTATGAAATGATGGCATTTCTAGAGGAGGGGGCTGGACGCAACTGAGATTTTTGTGGGGGGGGGGGCTCTAATGTGGGGGGCCCTGGGGCCTGTGCCCCATGGTTAATCCGGCCCTGAGTGAGCCAGGACCTTACTCATGAGACCACCGTGGCTCCAGTCGTAAACATTTCAATATCGTCACAATGGATGACGTAATACTAAAAGTATCATGCATACGCAATAATAGGTATTACGTCATTCCATCAAAATTTAATAAAACGTTAGCCGCGAAACAGGTTTTGTGATGGCCACAGAAATTCGCGTTCCAACTGAACGCAAGAAAACAGAAATTGTAGATGGACATATCAGGCAAAAGTCAATTTTTACAAATAAGGCACACGAACGGAAAGAATTAGCGACCGATGTAGTCCGGAGAGAATGCATGAACAAAGGCTATCGAATTATGGAGAAAACTCTAGGAGAAGGGGCTTATGCGAAGGTTAAACTTGCGGATGTTCAGGTATCAAAACTTGCTCGAAATGCGATGATGGCTGAATATGTTGAAAATGGAAAACTACAGGTACGGTACCATTGTCATAATCTATCGAATTCCGAATAAACTGTGGCTCAGTGACTGAGTGGGTCTCTGGCTAGCTAACCAAGAGGTCGCGAGAAATTATCTCTCGATTTTCCGGCGTGGTTCCCACTTGTCAGCGGTACACGAACGACGTCTCGTCGCTCAAATAGTACAAAAAAACGAGGTCCTGTACTGCCTGTACACATTGGTGTGCACGTAAAAGAACCCTTGACAGTTGAAATTCAATTGCTTGCTGTCCGTGGAGAATTTTCCTTCTAGCACACTGCATTCCATTATCCCGATTGGAGCAAAAAAGGAGGACGTTAAACTCAATTTCATTCATTCATTCCTATTTTAACCAGAATATTGTATAGACAGAAGAAACTATTCTGTTATTCTATTGTCTTTCAGGTGGCTATTAAAGCAATACAGAAGAAAATTGTACCACAAGAATTTCTCACAAAGTTCGTACCGCGGGAATTAGAAAACCACACAGCTTTACCTCGTCATGAAAACGTGGTATGTAATTTGAAATGTCTACGATGTTTCGAAGAAGATATGATTTCAGGGTCGTAGATTTTTTTTTTTTTTTAATGTCTATGTATTAATTAAGCGCTATTTGGATTTATTTATTTATTTCAATTTAGTAAGGATCAACTCAAATTTTAATAAATCTTAAAAATCGGCTTATATAGAAGCTAGCGATTTGTAAGCCCCAGCTTGGCCCCTTTCAGATCATTGCTAAGATGTAGTTATTTTCTGTTGATTGTTTTCCTTACTCCATACCATAAATAACATATTTGGCCGAGAATCTTTGAAAAATCACGCCAAAGCCACTTTAAAGCCGATCCTGTCATTGCATTTGAAAGCTTGATGTTTTACTTTACTGTTGATCAAACTCATCCACACCTATTTGTTTGCTCTCCATAGAATTGGTATCAATGGCATCATTTGTAGCATCATTGTAAATTCCAATGGAATTGAGTTTTAGTATAATGTCACTTTAGCCCGGAATAATATACCTACTTTCGACATTCATATTAACACTGAATTTCGTCAGTGGAATTTTAAGGCTGATATTACATAATATCTATTTTTATTTATTTTTTGTTCTGTTGTAATAGGTTCGTATTTATTTTGGTATTTGTAGGTTCGTATTTTTGAGCATTTTTCGACACCAGATTTCACGTATGTTGTGATGGAATATATGTCTAAAGGCGACCTATTAGATCTCATTAATCAGAATATCAGTAGAAGTGAACGAGGACTGGGGGACGAATTATCTAAACGATTCTTTAAACAAATATGTCTTGGTCTTCATCATATACATGGCCACGGTGTTGTTCATAGGTAAGACTATAGCTACGAGAACCAGGGGGGGGAACTAGAGGTGGGTGGAGATTGCCCCCCCCCCCCCCACCCCACGCTCAGCTACATAAAAAAAATTGTAAAACAACACATTCATGAGAAAAGTGTCACGGGGTGGGGTGTTGGATTCTCTTTAAAAATGAAATGAAATGGGGTTTAACGTCCTACTGTTCTGCTCCAATACTGGGCTAATGGAGACGGGCATACGCCATACAGTGTGCTATGAGGGAATTTTGTCCGGGCAGCGGCACTATCGCCTACTCTTATATCGAATTCCAACTGCCAAGGGATCTTTTGCGTGCATTCCAATGTATACACGGGACCTCGGTTTTTCGTCTCATCCGAAGGACTAGACAGCTGTCCTTGTCAGGCCCTCCGTTCTGCACCACTGACAAGGGGAAATCCCGATGAACTTTCTCGGCCAATGCAGGGATCGAACATCCGACCTCCAGACTAGCGAGCCAGCGTCTTAACCATCTAGCCACCGTGGCTCCCCACTCTTAAAAGCTCAGTGTGTATGTATGCCTACGTAATTTAGAGACGATGATGGCATCATGCATTGTCAACTGCCAAATTTCCTTAACGGGAACCTGGCAGACCCCCTCCAGTAAAAATTCCTGGATCCGCCCCTGAGAACGTGATTCCTCTTTGACAATGTTGCAGGACAGGGGGGCCTGGCAAGGGATAACGTATAGTCGTTCGGATAGGACGAAAAAACGAGGCCCCCATTTACATATTGACGTGCACGTAAAAGACCCCCTCCCCTGACAGTTGGTATTCAATATAAGCTGGGAAGCTGGGAAACCGCATTGAACTCACGTGATTTTTTTCCCACTTGAGGGGGCACAAAGCGCGTCATTGCGTCCCATTGAGTTAGCCTCTATAACATTTACGCTAACATTCATCATACTTTTAGTGATAGCTTTCCAATCTCACCCACAGTTTTCATCGCAATTTTCGTCATTCACCAGATTTAGAAAGATTCACACGCAAATCCACTATGATGCGTAGTTCGGGGTATTTGCCTGCTTGAAATATGTCAAGGAACAACGAAATTTATTTATAAGGATAATTCGATCACATTTGTTTTTTTTATCTTTAACAGAGATATGAAATGTGAGAATATACTGGTTTCTGAGAATTTTGATGTAAAAATCACAGGTAACCATCGTCTTCATATTATACACTCTTATCCACCAGTTCCTTATTACCATTCTCGTAATAAAAGTCGTGTCCACCAGTTTTATATTACCATTATCGTATTCACCAGTTTCATATTACGATTTTCATATCCACCAGTTTTATATTACCAATATCGTATCCACGAGTTCCTTATTACCATTCTCGTATCCACCAGTTTTATATTACCATTATCGTATTCACCAGTTTCATATTACCATCCACGTACCCACCAGTTTCATATTACCATTTCCATATTCATCAGTTTATTCTCAATGTAAAGAAAAAGAAATTGTTAAAGATTAAATATATTTTTGAAAATGGCAATATTTTCCAACATAAATTGGCAGTGTACTCCATGTTTTACTAAAATCTTTATTTTTTCAGATTTTGGGTTTTCATGTCAGTATATGGATAGAAGTATTCTTCTGAAAACGTCTTGTGGGTCCTACGCATACACTTCACCCGAGGTTATTAAAAATAAGCCGTATGATGGCATTTGTGCTGATATCTGGAGCATGTAAGTCATTTTTAGGCAAATTTTGGACAGCCTCGAGTGTGATTGTGGTCATTTCTTCAAAAGATACCATCATTTTCTTTTACATTGTTCGTTACATTCTGATGCACGCAAAATATCTACAGGTCTTTTGCCACCTTTTTTTATCAATACGCATGATCTATTAAAAGTTAAAATCCAGAATCAATAAAAACAGATAAAAGGACTGGGAAAATAAAGCAAGCTGTTTAGTATGCTTGATTGATACGCATTCCTATATAGGAGAATGCAAATTTAAACGAACTTATTTATTTTTTAATATTTGCACCAAGTCCTTAGTCTCAAGGGAAAATAACATTTAAAAAATTAGTAGATTAATTACCCGATATATTAATGTACATGTACTTGAATTTGTGTTTTCAGTAATTCTGTGTGCAATGATTAATTTGATTTTTCAGTGGTATAATTCTGTATGCAATGATAATTTGATTTTTTCAGTGGTATAATTCTGTGTACAATGATTAATTTGATAATTCAATGGTATAACTATGTATGCAAAGATTAATTTGATTTTTCAGTGGTATAATTCTGTGTACAATGATTAATTTGATAATTCAATGGTATAACTATGTGTGCAAAGATTAATTTGATTTTTAGTGGGATAATTCTGTGTGCAATGATTAATGGTAGATTACCATATAATGATGGTCAACTTACAGAGATGGATGACGACATGAGAATGCAGCGACTGAGATTTGAGAGAAATGTGTCTTTTGGTAGGTGGCTTTTAGTTTTCCATAAAATAATAGAGCTTCAGAATGAAATGGAACATCCTTTTTATCACTATACACCATAATTACGTGAAAATCGGACCAAGACTGTTTGACAAAATGGCCGCTACCCTTCAGGCAAATAAAATGATAAGCATGCCAAGGTCACAATTTTTATCCGATTCTGATGATACTTAAAACATATGTTAATATCCCAAAGTTCTCGGTACCTTTCGATGCTGACGCATGTCGGACCGTAACATCCAGGATTATGGTCCATGGTTGTAAGGAAAATCGCTTCTTTTAGCTTGTTCTCTGTCCATCTCTTATCTTGCATGACAACTGCGTGTTTAAAATTTATTTTCTAGATTGTATGGTTTTGGTGAGAAAATTATTACAGTATAGGCCTATGTTACGACCGGCTTTAAGTGAAATATTAAAAGATCCGTGGATAACAGGGAAGAAGCCCATACCAAGACAATTAAATAAACCAAAATGGACGGTAAGTATACACAAGTCTGAAGATGGTTGCGAGGGGGTGGGGTGGGGGGTACTTATAACGCGATGGTCATGTCGAGACGCATGGAATATCAAAAGCCGATAATCTCCCGGGTTAGAGTCTTGTGTCGATTGAAGAAGGATGAGGGTGATGAATGTTTTAAAATTTTCAATTCATTATATCTTTGTAGAGATAATAACCGGAATTGAATCATTTTTGGAGCGATGCAGACTTGATTATATACTTTTAGAATTTAATGTAATATAATAAATAGCCTTCCAATTCAGACTTATATATATTTTAGAATGCCTATTTTGTGAATAAATCAAATGAAGATGGGAAAGATTCAAATAAACTGAGAGTAGATGGTTCGAACCCTGGCAACGCACCTCTCACTTCCCCACTTTACTATAGAACAGGAACTCCTGAAAGAACGAGAACTACCACTTCAGGTATCAAAGATGCCGTCGTGCTCAGTAGAGGTGCAAGAGAGACCATAATTCTCAAAAGTAGATGCCAGGCAAATGGTAAGAAAATAACAGAATGTAACCAATATAACTTCCTACTACATGTATACTTTTATAGATTTATTTCCTGTAGCGAATCGCCGTGCCGTTGTAAACGGTTTGGACACTGGACTCATGGCTAGAATTTTTCGTGTTCGAATCCCAGCTTTTTCCGAGAAAACCTTCCCATCTGGACTGGCATGAAACTGTTTTTCGTCGTTTGAAGACCCCAGTACTTTGTTACAAATTTGCAGTGTAAATAATTGTAGTGGAAATTCGAAGATGGTTAAGATCACATGGCAAATTTTTCTTTTGCACATGTGACCATATTATCACATATTAGTTACATTTAATTTCAAAATAACCGGAACCAAATGACCCCATTCATTATTAGGACAACAAACGATATTGCTAAAGCAGTTTGCGAAAGATTTGTTAAATCGTATCCTGCTTTATGACTTAAAATAGTATGCATGTGTATGCGTGTTTTCTGTAGTTGAAATTGTTTCTTTGATCGTTTGTCATTATTATTAAAACCTAATAAATCATTTTATATACTCCATAACAAGTTATCCATTAATCAATTAATCAATTTGTGTTAATTGGTCTTAACAATTTGTGTTAATTGGTCTTAGCAATTTGTGTTAATTGGTCTTAACAATTTGTGTTAATCGGTCTTCACAATTTGTGTTAATTGGTCTTAATTGGCCTTATTGAATGTTGTTATTAGCATTAAACTTTGTAATCATTAATTAAATTAGATTCCCTTTAGGTGCATGTAATTAAGGGGTATCTCTGGTTGGTCAGCATTAACTAAGTATTGTTGTGTACATTGTATACTATTCAAAAAAAGTAGGGGAAATTTGATTTTGGGGGCATAATACTAAAATATGCAAATGACTACGAAAAAAGTCACTATAGAACCTAACAGAAGAAACATTTCCAGTTACATGTGACGCCCAAACGCACCAATAGCTACCGCATGGAATGCAGGTGATGCTTGGGATCATCATGGGGGTCCAACCCAAGATTTGCACGACTCTGACTTTGAATGTTACAGTCATTGTGGCATTGAATTCCAGGGTGGAAACATCAGTTTAATTGTTTTAGTGACCAGAAAACAAATTTTGATATGCGTCGGCTTACCCAAAATGAAAGGTTACGTGCCCTTGGCATGCTACAGATCGGCACAACACAGGCGGTTGTGGCGCGGACGATGAATGTTTCTCAGTCTGTCATAAGCAGGCTATGGTCCAGATACCGTGATACACAATCTGTACAGGACAGACTACGCTCAGGTCGACCAAGGGCGACAACTCAAGCCCAGGATCGATTTATCCGTACCTTGGCCTTGAGAAATCGTGTCATCACAGCAAATCAGATCAGCGCTCGTCTTCAAACAGACACTGGTGTGAGAGTGAGTGGCCAGACGATTCGGAATCGACTGCATAGGGGTCACCTTCGCGCCCGACGTCCTCGCGTGATCCCTTGTTTGAGAGATCATCACATTCAGGCAAGACGTCGTTGGTGTAGGGATCGTCAACACTGGGATAATCGACGCTGGAGCAATGTGATGTTTTCAGATGAGTCAAGGTTCACTGTTGATTTTTTGGACAGACGTAGGAGGGTGTGGCGTCGTCGAAACGAGCGCTTCCAAGACGTTAACGTCATCAGACATGATCGATTTGGGGGTGGTTCTGTTATGGTGTGGGGAGGCATCAATGTTGCTGGAAGAACGGCTTTACATGTTGTTGCAGGGCGTGTTACAGGCCAGTACTACCGGGACAACATCTTGGCAGTCCATGTTGTGCCGTTCGCACGACGTCATGGCCGCCGTTTCATCTTCCAGGATGACAACGCAAGATGTCACAGGGCCAGGATCGTTACAGGTTACCTCCAACAACAGAACATCACCACATTACCTTGGCCAGCACTGAGTCCCGACTTCTCCCCCATCGAGCATGTCTGGGACATGCTTGGACAGAGGTTACGTCAACGTCAACAACGTCCTGCCAATGTCCAAGAACTTGCTGCTGCGTTGCAACAGGAATGGGACAATCTGGACCAAAATGACCTTAGACGTCTCATTAGGAGTATGCCACGTCGGATCAATGCTTGTTTGGCAAACAGAGGAGGATTTACCCGTTACTGACTTGGTTGTGATGCTGTGGTAACTTTGCTGTTTGACCCCGGGTATCATTTTACCCTTATAATGGTCAGTCTGTGCCTTACTTAGTCTAACGATCATTTGGAATAAATCGATGAATGTGAACTTCATTTCATTTTGTCATTTGTTTCTTCGTCAGTTTCATTAGGTGACTTTAATAACACTTAAAAATCAAATATCCCCTACTTTTTTTGAATAGTATATATATTGTCTTGTCATATTGCTTGATAATGACTAGAGAAGCCTAGTCGAAACGTCGCTCAGTAATAAGAAGTAATTGTATTCCATATAATTGTGACCTGTATATTCTGTAGTTTAGTTTCTTAAACCTTTCTTAATGTTGTAGGCTATAATGAAATCAACCAGAAAACTGAACGAAGACCAAAAACGTGGCCTAAATCTGTAAAAGAACAGGCTGATAAGATCAAAGCGGAATTAAGATCAACCAGTGCTGATAAAAGAAACCATGAAAGAATCAAACAATTAATGGCCGTCACAAATAAACGAGTGCGAGCACGTACATCCACCCAAAACACCAAAACCAGCGGCACATACATGTACAAAGATATCTACACACCATTGATGTATATGTATAAGGTACTGATGTATTTTGGCCTTCATAATTATTAAGGCAATATTAAATTCATTATCATTACAAATAATCACACAACAGTACAGTCTGAAGGGTACGACAACAAGCAAAATGCTTACGGATATCGCTTCCACCATAAGTATGACACCGTAACAGAAAATCTTCAGATCATTTTAATGATAACATCATCGTTATGACCATCATCATACCATCGTCTTTATCTCCATCTTCGACGCCATGATCGTGACATTATCAATTATACCATCGTCTTCATCTCTGTCATCGTCATCATCGTGTGATCATTTCAATTATACCATCGTCTTTATCTCCGCCATCGTAATATTATATTCATAGTAGATATTTATCATCGCAATTAGTTTCATCGTAATCCTTGCGGTATGGTCTTCACCACCAGCAGAACGGTATCACCCCAATTATATCTTTGTCTTCGCCACTATACGGTTGTTGTGGTAAGTGAGTATGGGTCGGATGGGGCAACAAACAGAGGCCCATACTCATGTAGTCATTGGCGTATACGTTAAAGAATAGGTAGAATCGCCGCTGTCCGGGCAAAATTCCCCTTATAGGACATTGCATTGCCAAAGCCACGTTTATTGTAGAAAACAAGGACGTTAAATTCCATTTTATTTCACTATTATTATACTGCTGCCATCCCCTTGACATCACTGAGACAATACTGTCACTCCCACCTTGGTACCTTCACAACGATACCTTGTCACCATCTTGGGGGGGGGGGGGGCTTGGATGGCCGTATGGTTAGCACGTGCGCGATGTATCATAAAGTCTGTCATTGAGTCAACTGGCGTGGTTTCGATTCCCTGGTTGTACGTGACAAGGAGTAGGTTTGCCTTCCAACCTCGTGGGTTTTCTCCGGGTTCTCCGATTTCCCCCCATTGCTAAAGACCCCTATGCACAAGCGAATTATGGAAATAAAATTGGACCATAGGTTAGTCCCGAAATGACCTTGTTTGTGTCGAGTGGACGTTAAACCCATCTCTCTCTCTCTTGTAATGTTATGTTATTATTTTCTTTCAGTTTTTACAGGCCAATGGAAATGTTGAGACATCACCTATCAACACACAAAATATCCGGCAAACAAAGACCGTAACTTACACACCGCCATTACCGGTGAACAGCTATTCTCCCAATGAAAACAAAGTTACAGCCCCAGCCAATTCAACACAACAGACAGTCTTCGATAGTTACTCAAAACAAAAAACACCAATTACGAATACAAAAGATACAAGCGATGCCTTTTTGAATATTGGACAATTCATGGAGATTCCAGATAGATTTTTTTACGAACTGGATACGGTAAGTTCGTCAACGTTTAGAGTTTCATTTAAAGCAGGAATAAGTCAGTATAATTTGTCGTCATTAATACGCATTTAATCATACCGTACTAATTGTTGAATATGCATATTGATTTAGACGTCCTAATAGTTCAAGTTCCGGAACTTGCAATATTCTTGAATGGTGCCCATCGGTTATCTGCCCATGTGGAGGTTTGTGAGATTGTAGAGAAGATACTTAGAAATTTGTTACTGGCGATGTTTTGACGAGTGTTCTCTCGTCGTTATCAACCAAAGACAATTTGTTGATGACCATAATATAGTATTTAAATCCATGTAAAGGCTGGATATGGTTGGGTTTTATTAATTATAAAAATATCGATACTTTAAGAGCATCGAAGGATTTCAAATCTGATAAATTCTGTTGTATCCTATTGCCATGTCCGATACGAAAAGTGTAAGATACTGTTTCTTTAGCATGTGGACGTCGAGTTTAGGTCATAAGGTCTGTTAATGTGGCAAGTATTGGGGGTTCCATCCCAAGGAACAGGATTGTCTGTCTAACCTCGTTGGTTAGCCTGGTCTAATAGGTCAGACTCGTTTCGATCTTGTCACTCATTTTCTGAAGTCAGAATAGCGCCGTGAATAAGGTTATAATCTCTACACATAGCACAGCTACCCTATGTAAAATGCTTCTCGCGCCATACACTATTGCTCATTTAGCCAATCAGTTAACCTATATAAAAAACACTAATTTTTTTACAGGTAGAAGAAAGTAAAGAGAATCCGGAGGAAGTCAGATCTGGTTCAGTTCCGGCACGTAACAGAATCACACAGGATAAGAAACCTCAAAAGCAAACCCCAGAAGAAAGAGCACAGACATGTCGTGATAGAATACTACATGCTTATGGTCAAAGAGCAACAGCTACCCCCAAGGAACGGGAGTAAGAATCTTAAGTACACATATCATACATTTGGTGTCTGTCAGGCTTGTCATATTATTTCAATTGGGTTCGCCAAAATGGTCGCTCCTTGAACGCAAATAGTGTAAAAGTATGTAATACCAAGGTTGTGGACACTCTAGAGGTCACAATTTTATCCGATTTTGATGGATATAATGTTTATATCCCAAAGATCTCGGTTCCTCTCCGTATTCGCACAGTTCATACCATAACTTACTGAAGTATGACTCCTGATTGGGCGAAAAATCGCGGTGTATTTTTTTAACTTGTTCTCTACCCATCTCTTGCAAAATGTAGGCGTTTCTTGCACGACAACCGCTGGTTAATTCAAGTGACGAATGGTGCCCAGTGGCTTATATCTAAATCTTCTTCTATTATTGATTAATCTCCGATATCTTTTCGCTTCCAGGATACCGTTTCTGCCATTAATGGTACAGAAGATAGATTTATCAACAACAGAAGGAACAAAATCACCGGAAGCAGTGCAAACATTTCAAGCTCCATGCAGACTTCAGCTCGGTACCAGAACACCTTCCACCGATAAAAATAAACGTCGAGTTAAAGCAGTTTATAAATATAAATATCATTAAGAGTCGTGCCTATTTGATTTAAATCAGTGTTATCATGTTCTGTCCCATTAAAATTGTGTATATTCCTGTAAAACAACCAACAACGAAGATATTATTTATATTAATGAAATTATAATACTGTTGCGGAATAAATATTGTTATATTTGGAAAGATGTTACATTTTGGGAACTTTTTAAATTGTCCTCTGTCATCAGTAGCGGATCTAGAAGCTGAGAATGGGGTGGGGGTGGGGGTCCATATCTCACCAACAGTGAATGTAAACAAAATACTGGGCGTGAGAACATAGATCGTGTTGCCTATATATATAAAATATAGTTGTTTGTCGATCGTTATCTCGCCGGAAAGCAGTTTTATTCATGTTGAAATGTCATGTGATTGTTATTGATTTTGTTGTTAAAGTTTCGTGAACTTTAGGGGCTGTGACTATAACACTGAGCCGCCCGAAGGAGGGAGGGTGTCTCCTCCAGGGAAAATTTAGAAAAATTGAGTTAATAATCTAGCATTTGAGGTCATTGCTGTAAACTAATTCATGCGAACGATAGGACCAGAAATGAAAGTCATTGGGACAAAAATTTCGAGATCTGCCTGTCAATTCCATCTGTTTGGTAGAGTTGACAGAATTGTACAGTCACCATCTGTCGACCGAGAATCACTCAATAGTAGTACTATAACTATCTGGGCGATTCACAATAACCGTGAATATGATAGTGATGAGAAAGTATAAGAAAGGAGTGGAAGAATGATAAAGTAACGAAATTCAGATATGTAACTGAGCTTTGGATTTATTTGGGCTTGGCCTGAGGGGACTTTGTCTCACGGGGTCGCTTACATGACCTCATATGGGCCCGACTGCATTCCCTTACATCCGCGCCTGTCCATCATTACTTATAAATATAGCGATGGGCCCTTGAAAATATGACGCCGTCCGTTTAAGCTTACCGTCACAATATCAAAAAAGTCAATTAAAGACTCGACTCTATTATCTTGTTTAGCTTAATAAAGACCAATCGCAAAATGAAAGATAAATCAACATACTGAACACACGCTAGCTTCACAAATGATTAATCATCGTAGAAGATTATCCATCTACTGCATTTCTGTTGCACGATTTGTTTTCATGCTTCACGGAATTTATCTATTGGGACTGTACAGCACAGTGGACGCTTACGATTGGTCCCCGGATCCATTCACTTGTTTTAATATTTGTTGTTTATTTATTTCAATGTGTGTGTAGTTTATCTTGACAACAGGTTTGTCTTATCAGTTCTATTTTGCATGTTGTGTGGTCTTCCTGCACTTAATATTACAATCTGTTCTTGTAGTTATATCTCTGTACGTTGTTTTTAATTGTAAAAAAACACCAAACCAACCCAGCATGTCATCTCAAAATGTGGTTGTCGCGATTATCAAATTACTCACAAGGGATTTTGCATGTGGAAAAACATCCTTTTTGGGGGCACTAAAACCCCATATTTACATCGTTGTGAGAGGGAACTCCCCAGTTATCACTTAGACCACCTCCACTTTAAATCGTATATCCGCGTGAAATAAAAAGTTTCTTATTGTCCCATCGCAGTAACCACTACAGATAAAATGATAAAAGTTGAGTACACCTATAATCTCGCAATTGATATTCTGACTTCTGTAGTTCAGTTGTCGCGTCGAATTTTAGATTTTCAGTTTGATATTTTGTTTTGTGATGTAGTGTGAGTTTGCTGCCTCCTTGAGTTCTTCCATTCCAGGTTTTGATATCAACTAGTTCATTGAATGACGTCATGTAACAAAATCTGAACAAGTTGTGCAAGATATTGCACCTTTTAACCTACTTACAGACATGTCAGATAATATGTGTAATGTTAAAACAACAATAACTAATATAAACCCCTCGAATATTTGTCATGTTAGAGTATTTCCCCACATACGTACTCTTTAGCCACTTATAGCGTACACTCTTGACAGGCGGCCATTCAGACATCTGTGTACCAGAATCTAAATTAAAGGAATGTTGCCTAATATCACAAACGTTTTTAACGGTACAATGGAGACACGTCTTTATTATCTCCCCTGAAAATAATAGCGCATTATCTCAAGGTCATCCAAATTCAGCAATGTCCTTTTCAAGTTTGATAATATAATCCCAAAATAATATAAATACTTTAACCAAACACTGATAACACCCGTTCATTTAGTACACAAATCTATTTTGTACGCGGGTTCATGGACAAATTATAAGTATAGTTTGTTAATATATACCGACAGTGATAATGATATAGACGCATGTGTAATATCAATGAAATTCAATCACAATGTTATCCTATTAATCCAATATAAAAATTGTTGGAATTCTCTCTTTAAAAAGCTCAGTGTATATAGACTATGGATGCCTACGTAATTTGGAGACGATGATGGCAAGAACCTGACACCCCCCCCCCCCACCCTTGCAAAATTTCCTGGACCAGCCCCTGCATTATTCCTACAAATAATTATTACAAATTCTCCTGCTATCTATATATGTATACGTTGAATCACTATCCCCTCTAGAAGAAAACGCCCATTTTAGCAACTGTTGTATGGATGTAGATGTATCATAAAATATGTATTATTTCTTATTCAACTGTATAAAAATCTTTCCGGTGTATCATTCCATAATTTCTTGATAAAGTCAATTTACAGCTGGCAATATCTCAGGACCAATTATTTAGTTAGCCGAAATTTAGGAGATCAACTGTATATATCCAGTTCAGTTACGCTATTTAACAATGGACATGGAGCCACGGTGGGTCAGTGAGTAAGACGTTGGTTCGCTAACCTGGAGGTCCCGTGTTCTATCCTTGCGTTGGCCGAGAAAGTTCATCGGGATTTTCAGACGTAGTTGTCAGTGATGCAAGACGGAGTGCCTGGCAAGGGACAATGTATTGTCGTTTGGATGGGACGAAAAAACCGAGGTCCCGTGTACACATTAGCATACACGTAAAAGATCCCTTGGCTGCTGGAATTCGATATAAGAGTATGCCGTAGCTCCGCTATCCGGGCAAAATTTCCCTCATAGAATACTGTATGGCGCATGCCCGTCTTCATTAACCCAGTCGGAGCAGAAGAGTAGGACGTTAAACCCTATTGCATTTCAATATTGTTTAGGTTGCCAAACAACGAAAATTGTAAAATCAGTACCATAACATTTATAGTGTTCTGTGTACATGAGGATATAATAGTCTTCTGTTGGCTGTATACTGCGTCATTGTGGTTAGATCTGTCACTGGGGGTGAGATTATTTAACAGTCAGGGGGTTTATCTTTGTAAATATTGATGTCAGTCTCAAGTACGCTTTTCCTATATTGATAATGGGATTAAAACATTCTAACTAACTTTATCACCCCCTTCCCTCCTGAAATGTAGAATCCAATTGCTGCTTATGACTGAGCGACGTTTCGACTATCACTGTGATTGCTTGACAAAGACTAAAGAAGCATAGCCGAAATTTCCCCAGTAAAGGCCCACTTCCGCTTTCTCTTGATAAAATAAAACCACCGAATCTCTAATATTATTTCAAGAAATAGTATTCTTACGTGAAATATCCATATTATATTTTCCAGAATTGGTGCCATATCTTATATTAATATCGGTCGACAAAAATCAATTGGGGATTTATTTTGGATACATAGATGGAACCAGATATAAACAGGATCTCCGAATTGTCTTCATGTCTTATAATTATTTATTGAACTATACGCGATTCGGTGGTTTTATTTGATCTGGGTCTTTAATATAAAAATGAAATGAAAACGCAATGGTAACACGTGGATTATATTTGTTAATGAAACAATTACAAGAAAATACCATACATGTCAATATATATTGGGTATAGATTATATTTTCTAACAAATAAAACATACTAAATTTATAATACAGGCCAATGTGTCTATTATACAATTTACATCAAGTATATGGTCTTTTATTTCATCCATTTATTATAATTTTCAATGAACACGAAACTCACGAAATATCATAGAAGATTATCATAGATGTACAACAATTATATTATTTACATATGGCCCATGTGTGAAGTTCTAAAAAAAAATTAGAACACTATATTATTTGCATATGGCACATACGTGACGTTTTAAAAATAAATTAGAACACTATATTATTTACATATGGCACATGCGTGAAGTTTTACAGAAAATTAGAACACTATTTATAATGAATTCGTTCGGATTACATTTGTTTGTCACAGTTTAGAATGACTTTTGAAAGTTCTTAGTAAATTTAATTTTAATGGTGAAACCCGAGCACTTATTGAACTAAATATCAGTAATTGCTTGGATTTCCCCGATAGCCATTGGATTGGGTGTGACTGTTAAAATGTGGTATGGATTTCTTTGATTAAAGGTGGTCTATCGTGGCTTGGATTTCTCGTCAGACTGTTGTTTATATGGATTTCCCTGTTAAAAGTGACCTGTCATTACCTGAGTAGCTGCGTTAATAAGTGGTCTGTCATGGTTGGAATTTCCGTGGAATTTCCGTTAGACTGTGGTCCATGTCGGTTGGATTTCCCTGCTAAAATGGGTCTATCATGGTTTGAACTTTCCGTTAGACAGTGGATTGTCTGGATTCCACCCCGCTGTCAAAAGTGGTCTTTCATTGCTTTAGACTAATCATTTTAAAAAAAAATGGTATATTATGACCCGGATCTCCCCGGTGCAATGTTACGCTTATATTCGTCTTTCATAGCCAGATTTCAGTGTTAAAAACGCTTCCTGGTTCAGCTCCCACCTTGTCAAAATTGGTCTTTTTTAAAGCCAAATTTCAGCGTTAAAAAGTGATCGGTTGTCAACTGGATCTACCCAGTAAAATATTCCCATTTCATGGTCTGGATTCTTCCCCACCCCCACCCCGCCCTGCTAAGTGTCATAGTTATATTTCCACGTCAAGAAGTCGTCTTTCACAGTGTATACTGTTTATACAGACCTATTCTCGTTAAAGAATGGTCTGCCATAGCTTGATTCCGCAAATTCGGCTGCGATGATGGTTTGACGGACAAAGGTTGTTCCCTAAAATACGATTAGGGACATAAGGACGTTGGGCCAGGTACACTATATATGGGTATATATACATAAAGATGATATATTTCTTAAATACCTCCTGTGAATCAT